ATCCAGACGACAGTCCTCGAACTCGTCGCATGGTGGAGCAGTACAACCAGAGGGTGATGAACCAAGGTCCGTTGGAAGATGTGGAGTGAGTATTTCACGGAATGCTTCTTTCATAAGAAGGTATCCAGTTTGAGCATTCGCCATTTCATAGGAAGATGCTTTTCTCATGAAGAGGTACTTCCTTAAAGACTTTGTCAGAAAGAAGATACTTATCTCAGGATAAGAAACTTCTAATGATTCTAATGCCCTTATATATTTGCCGTGCCGCAAAATGTCATGCTGGCATCAGTGGAGCTAAGCTCTACAAAGCTTTTATGTTACAGTAAGCTTTCCGCCTGGAGAGGGAACTGAAACACAAGTGGGCAACTTTCAAGCAAAAGTTTTCAGTTGAAGATCCGTTTGCGTTTCGTGCGTGTTCTGCTCTTTTCATTGAAGCTGTCTTCAGGTGAGAGATGTATAGATTCTCTTCAAGTCGCAGATGTAGCTCAATACTCCGCTAATTCGACCAAGAGCAATAACAGGCTAGTTGAATGCCGACTCCACGGCCATGCAGCTCTACGTGTTTTAGATTTGTGCCTGGTTGAAACACTGAATGTTACACATCCAGGTGCCTGTCTGTTTCACGTATCACTTGCATGTATCCATGCCTGTTGCTCAAGGTTCTATCTAGTGCAGTGGACTACAGCTGTGCGCCTGTAGCAAAAGAGACACCTGAGTGCCTGTGTTCCGAGGGGATACACGTCTCAGGGGGGGGGGGAAGGGGCGGGGGCAGGGGGGGGCAAGGGGAGGAGGACAAGGAGGAGGCGCAGGTCGGGAGGGAGGCAGAGGAGGGAGGGGGATGGGGGGGAGGGGGAGGGGGGGGGGCAGCCGGAAGCAGGGAGAGAAGCGCAGGGGGGCGGGGGGGGGGGGGGGGGGGGGGGTCGGCCCCAGACCGTGAGGTACAGAACCCCAGGATTTCAATTATTTAAATAATTGAAATAATTGAAATAATTGAAATGGGGCCGATTTCAATTATTTCAATTATTTGGGCCCTTTGGCGGATTTAAATAATTGAAATAATTGAAATCCGAAGGTTCGGTGGGCCCAAGCCACCAAATCCAGGGATTTCAATAATTGAAATAATTGAAATAATTGAAATGGGGTGGATTTCAATTATTTCAATTATTTGGGGCCTTTGGCGGATTTAAAAAATTGAAATAATTGAAATCCCCCCATTTCAATTATTTCAATTATTTCAATTATTTAAATAATTCAAATCGGTGGGATTCGTGGCTTGGCCCAGAACAGCCATCGATTTCAATTATTTCAATTATTTGGGCCCTTTGGCGGATTTAAATAATTGAAATAATTGAAATCCGAAGGTTCGGTGGGCCCAAGCCACCAAATCCAGGGATTTCAATCATTGGAATAATTGAAAAAATTGAAATAATTGAAATAATTGAAATAACTGAAATGGGTGGGATTTCAATTATTTCAATTATTTGGGGCCTTTGGCGGATTTAAATAATTGAAATAATTGAAATCCCCCCATTTCAATTATTTCAATTATTTAAATAATTCAAATCGGTGGGATTCGTGGCTTGGCACAGAACAGCCATCGATTTCAATTATTTCAATTTTTTCAATTATTTCAATTATTTGGGCCCTTTGGCGGATGTAAAAAATTGAAATAATTGAAATCCGAAGGTTGTTCAGTGGGCCCAAGCCACCAAATCCAGGGATTTCAATAATTGAAATAATTGAAACAATTGAAATAATTGAAATAATTGAAATGGGGGGATTTCAATTATTTCAATTATTTGGTGCCTTTGGCGGATTTAAAAAATTGAAATAATTGAAATCCCCCCATTTCAATTATTTCAATTATTTCAATTATTTAAATAATTCAAATCGGTGGGATTCGTGGCTTGACCCAGAACAGCCATCGATTTCAATTATTTCAATTATTTGGGCCCTTTGGCGGATTTAAATAATTGAAATAATTGAAATCCGAAGGTTCAGTGGGCCCAAGCCACCAAATCCTGGAATTTCAATAATTGAAATAATTGAAATAATTGAAATAACTGAAATGGGTGGGATTTCAATTATTTCAATTATTTGGGGCCTTTGGCGGATTTAAATAATTAAAATGATTGAAATCCCCCCATTTCAATTATTTCAATTATTTCAATTATTTCAATTATTGAAATCCCTGGATTTGGTGGCTTGGGCCCACTGAACAGCCTTCGGATTTCAATTATTTCAATTATTTGGGCCCTTTTGCGGATTTAAATAATTGAAATAATTGAAATCAACTCTGCTGATTTCAATTATTTCAATTATTTTAAACAATATTAGTCATGCAGAAAAGAATAGAGCGTAAAATAGACCCTAGAGGCGCCTCTCTCATATATGTATATATTTGATTGTTTTTGTTTATACTTATCAATGCGCTGATTGGTTTGCTTATTTCGGTTCTTATGTATCTATCTAGTTATATAGTTCTTAACTTGTCGATTTGTTTATCTATGTTTATATGTGTTTATATTCATCAGCATATTTATTCTCTGAGTTATGTCCATTAGACAAATACACACACACAAACTATACATACTGATATATATATATATATATATATGTATATATATATATATATATATATATATATATGCGCACACGTCTTTCCGGCAACCTGTTTCATTCGTTCATGAATACGTACAAGATGTGAAGCTGCATGCAACAGCGCTCTCGACATTGACGACTTACGACTTTCAATAATTCCCCCAGGTGCGTTGCATGCTGTTGCCAAACAATCTGGCCTAAGTTTGGCCAGAATTCGTTTCCCGTTTGCGGCCTGGTTCTCCTGGTTCTGCCTCGGAATGATACCGCTGGACATCGCTGGACGAACGGACGAAGGCTGCGATTTCGCAGCCATCAGGCTTCACGCCTCCAGCCTTCGCAGCTTCTGCGGCTCCTGCCTTGGCATGGTGCACATGTTCGTCGCCACGTTTGCGCGCCGGTTCCGCACCGGCCCTGTTCATAAAACACATCTTCCTTCGAAACGCTCGGTTTGTCCAAAGTGCTGAGCTTGAACGTGCAAAGGGAGTGACGTGTACGGAGACGGCCGACGCATTCGCATGGCTACTGCCGGGGTCAAGTGCCGCAACGAACTCCTTTTCGGGATGAAACAGTGGGGAAACGGATGAGTAGTTGCGACAACTGAGAAGAAAACACGAAGAAAACACAGCTGCGAGTCAGACGTGCCATAGATTGGGCAATTAATGGTGAGGCATTGCCAATTCGCAAATACGTTGCATAGCTGATTAAGTGGGCGGCATCTTGTTGATTTTTATTCGGACCTGTCATGTGCCGCGCGGCTCAGGTTCCCATTCGTCGGCGGGTTTGGAGAATCGCTACAGGATGCCGCAGTAGACGCTCTTGTGCCTTGCCACAGACTAGCACACCAGTCACGTGTGAGAGGAAGAGCCAACACCCGGGTGCCCGATCACTTCTGTCTTTTTTTGGGTTCACTTGTGTCTTTTTTTTGGGGTCGCTTGTGTCTTTGTTTTCGGGGTCGCTTCTGTCTTTTTCCTTCTTCGGAAGCAACAGTCTCGAACGAAAGGTGCCTTGGTAGGACCTCACCCCGCTCAGTTTCAGGCTCGGTATACATAAAGTGCAAAGGCATTTAGCTTGCTCCCTTTCTGCGTCCACATGCACATAGACATGCATGCGTACTCTACGAGGTGGTGTCTAAACATGTGTAGATATTTATTGTATATTACACATTGTACGCATATACGTATACCTATATGTAAACATATACGTACACATAAACACATGCAACTAACATATACAGTTTACTCCTTTTGGGGTTTCGTTCTGGGTTTACTCCTCTTAGGGCTTGGGCCTTCTTTCATTAGGGTTTCGTTCTGGGTTTACTCTTTTTAGGGTTTCGTTCTGGGTTTACTCCTCTTAGGGGTTGGGCCTTCTTTCATTAGGATTTCGTTCTACTCCTTTTAGGGTTTCGTTCTGGGTTTACTCCTCTTAGGGGTTAGGCCTTCTTTCATTAGGGTTTCGTTCTGGGTTTACTCCTTTTAGGGTTTCGTTCTGGGTTTACTCCTCTTAGGGGTTGGGCCTTCTTTCATTAGGGTTTCGTTCTGGGTTTACTCTTTTTAGGGTCTCGTTCTGGGTTTACTCCTCTTAGGGGTTGGGCCTTCTTTCATTAGGATTTCGTTCTCGTTTACTCCTTTTAGGGTTTCGTTCTGGGTTTACTCCTCTTAGGGGTTGGGCCTTCTTTCATTAGGGTTTCGTTCTGGGTTTACTCCTTTTAGGGTTTCGTTCTGGGTTTCCTCCTCTTAGGGGTTGGGCCTTCTTTCATTAGGGTTTCGTTCTGGGTTTACTCTTTTTAGGGTTTCGTTCTGGGTTTACTCCTCTTAGGGGTTGGGCTTCGTTCTGGGTTTACTCCTTTTAGGGTTTCGTTCTGGGTTTACTTCTCTTAGGGGTTGGGCCTTCTTTCATTAGGGTTTCGTTCTGGGCTTACTCCTTTTACGGTTTCGTTCTGGGTTTACTCCTCTTAGGGGTTGGGCCTTCTTTCATTAGGGTTTCGTTCTGAGTTTACTCTTTTTAGAGTTTCGTTCTGGGCTTGCTCCTCTTAGGGGTTGGGCCGATTACTCCTCTTAGGGGTTGGGCCTTCTTTTATTAGGGTTTCGTTCTGGGTTTACCCCTCTTAGGGGTAGGGCCTTGTTTCATCAGGGTTTCGTTCGGGGTCAGGTCCTACCAAGGCACCTCTCGTTCGAGACTGTTGCTTCCGAAGCGAATAAAAGACACAAGTGACCCAAAAAAAAAGACGCAAGTGAACCCCAAAAACAAGACACAAGTGACCCCCCTTCCAGCCAACACTCCTTCATGCATGGAAACAGGTGGCTTACCTAGTCAGCGAAACCTAGATGACAGTGTTGGTACTGAACACTTGCACAAGAGGGCTCATCTCTTTTTCCTCCGTCTCATGCACATGCCAGCAGTCAGCTGCGGCGCCGCCGCCGCCGGCTGCGTGAGCGGCTGCGCTTGTCGTCGGGATCCGCGCTGCAGGGTCACGAAAAGTTCAGACATGTTTCAGCATGTGCCAGAACCTCATGCTGCACGAGCACTCACACACACATACAAATGATATTGGCCACACCTTGTCGGCGCTGCCGGCGGATATCCGCCATATGGTCCGTATGCGTGTGGAGGTGGATAGCCATAAGCCTGGCGGCCGATAATGTAATATGGCATTGCGAATGGTGATCAGCCGCTTGTCAGGGACTGTGCACACTAGCAGACGACAGCAGGGATGAGAATCACATCCGTGTCCCAGCACAAATGAAGAGGTGTGGTCCCACCCCACATCTCAATACAGCCGGGCATGGCTGCATAGTAGTCAGGCGGAGGAGGTGGATAGTAGCCTCCGTAGCAGCTTCCCGGCTGGCAAGGCCAAAAACGACATGCTAATCCATGATGGCACGCGTGATGGCTTGATTTGCTTCAGAAAGGAATCTCAGCACCGGACCATAGGGCGGGTAGCCACCGTAGCCGGGTGGGGGATATCCTGGATAACCTGCTGTCCGAACATTTCACAAGGGACCGTTCCGAAAGGCCTGACTGTCCTGTCACTGCCTCCATAGCATGGCGGAGGAGGGTAGCCATAGCCTAGTGCCAGTTGGAAGCAACAGCTTCTGAAGATGTTTCGGATAGTGTTTGTTTAGTGGAGATGTTTGTGTTGGCCCCATGTTTTGCTTTGCTGTGCTTGAAGGCGGAAGAGGAGGGCGTCTACGCAATCGGAGTATATGCATCAGCCGATTACAAGACAGCTGCCTCAACCGACCCCAATGGCCAAAAGGCTCTCATTGTATTGTGCGAGACTATACTGTATTGTATTCTATTATATTCTAGCATACCATATTACACTATACTACTCTCTACAGTACACAATAGTACATCATATGACGTTATCTTGTATCATAGCTTAGACAATATGTTGTGCGATAAAATACCATATCGAAAAAACTGTTTATTGCATTATATCATGATGTGTGATATGATGTTATACTACAATGTGATACATCATGCGATCTTATCACGGCCGGCACTGAGGTTCGGCAAAGTGGAGCATTTAGGATTCAAGATAAGTTGTGTAGAGGTTTCGCCTTCTTGCCGGTTTCTTGAACCCTGGGTCTCCCCCCCTCCCCCCTCCCATACCCCAAAAAAGGCTCCTCCCAATTGTTGTGCGTGTGTCCACCTCCGAAATCCCAGTAGCTTCCGTCTCAAGATGGTCGAAGGGTGGCCGAAGCAGGAAAGCGTGATTCACGGAATCAGGGCGAGTGGAGGCTCCTTTCTTCAACGGCTCTCTGGATCGCTGCGGACCGTTTGGCTGGAGCATTGATTGCTCGAACTCTCGATCTCCGATGTAGCGACGCGTTCGCGCTTGGTCAGCTTGGGTGAAGTTGCCAAACATGCAAAGCTTGAGTGTTCGCGGTGTTCATGTTCGATGAGCCGCAGCAGATCATCCGACATCATCAGATGTGCCTGGAGGTGGCCCACCAGGACCTGGCGGCCCGCCTGGCTTCGAGGCACATGCAACTTGAGAGTGAGAGAGGAGGACACTCGGTCCGAGGATTGCGAATCTTTAGTTTCATGGCCAGCACGCAAGGATGGCCTTGACTCACCAGACACAGTGACCGTGCCTGGAGGTGGTCCATGATAAGGTCCACTCGGACCTGAGTGAAAACGGGGCTGCAGGCGAGGCAGCCGACGCAGCGCCGTCCATGACCCGAAGCACAGAGCCAGAGTAACACCATCTCCCTTGTAACAAGGCCGTTCCCAACACGACCGACATTGGCCGCCGGCGCTCGGGCTCGAAATCGTCCTGGCATGATTTCAGGAGACGTAAGGCCATTAGGGTACCCCTGCTCGTGGCCCCAAACCCTCCATGCCTTCACCTGCTCATGCGAACACTCTTAATGCAGCGCGCTCTGCAGCACCAGGCCTTCTTGCCGCTTTCTCGAGCTCGCATCACCTCCTGCAGGGTACAAATCAGCCTCTATACCGTCACAATCTCTTTCAAACGGCACGGGTGAACAGACAGGATGAGATGCGTTGCTAGTGCAACCATGCGCAACATTTTTGTCACGGGCACCGTGGTTGGCCCGTCCTGGGGCATGCATCGCTTGACCTCGACCCACTTGTTGTCGATTTTGTTAATCTTGTCATTGGAAAGGGCTGCCTGACGTCTCTGAGGCAGCGCAAGAGTCACCCCTGAGATGGCTGCAAGTCCACTCTTTGCCGGCTCCAGCAGCACATGGCAGCAGGATTTGCATGGCAATAGCAAGCATGGTGAAACATGGTCGCGAATGGAACCGTAGACTCGTAGAAGAACCGCAAAGGCTCAAAGAAGGCTCAGAGGTGTATATACTGCCCTTCAGCGCTGACCCAGGATGGCGAAATCACATCATCCAGGTCTGCAGGAGTCGCCTCAAAGACCGCGCTTCCAGATCCGGCTCGTTCAATCAATGCCGTGCCTCCTGGAAATCAGCAGACCCGAAGCCATGTCGTCCGGAACGGCCCGAAGCCTCGGCAGCGAAATTGCTTCGAGTTGCCACGTTTTTGTCTTACATGAGGTGCTCAATATCGTACGTTACTTCCTAGATCGCTTCGTCGGAGTCGGAGCTTGTGCTTTACGTTTGACAGCTTCGTACTCCTCATTGCCAAACCCATCCCAGAAGCTGAGAACCAAGCGGTCGCATTTGTAGCCAACAGGGACATGTGATGTGCGACCTGCATAGAGAGGCGCATCTGCCTTGACTGCACAGGGATCGACTGCATGCACCTGCCTGGCAGTCTTCGGTCGATCTCGCGATGTGGACCTCAGTCAGCTGCAACGTGTACGCAAAAAAACTGATTTCTCGAACCGAGTCTTAGAAGCCACGATATGGTAGCCTGTGCAATGCATGCACACACAGACACACAGACACACACACACACACACACACACGCACTCACACATATACCGGGCACGAATCCGGAAATCACGCTTGGCAAACCAGTGCACACCGTGCAGATTCGGAAACCCGAATTGGTGACTGGGAAATCAGCACTTCGCTAGCAAGGGTGAGTGAACATAGAGGGTAAAAAGAACATCGGTTACCATAACTGGCGTTGGCGAGCAGGGATGCTTCTTTGCCTCGGAGTCTGCACTAGAGAAGCTTAGTCCTTGCTGTTCATTGCATGCCCACGGTACGAAGCTCGCACAAGAGAGGAGGGCCACGAAAGCCAGCGGCAGGAAGCGTAGCAGGGAAAGAGGCGGACGACTTGTCAAGCGAATCTATTGCAGCACAGCTAATCGAATCATTCCAGCGTGGCAGAGGCTTGGCATAATTTTGCGCAGTGAACAAAATGGTTGGGGGTATCGGCTTCGGGCCGGGTGATGTGCTCGGAATACTCGCGGCAACCGACTCTCTTTGCTAAATGCAGGCAATTGTTACGAATTTCACAAGCAAAAGAAGCAGAAAGCTGCCAGCCCGAGAATGTTGCCAGTACTAGCAGCCTTTCAGTAAGCCTTGACCTCTTAATCGAATGGAAGTCCTCAGCCCTAAACCCGACACCAATAACCCTTGTCACAAGCCCCAAACCGCAAAACCGTAACCTAGAGCCCTCAAGCCCCAACCCCTTCGCAGCCAAATTGAATCCTTCAGAAGCCTGTAGAAGGTTGGAAACCCCGTTCAAACCCCTAAGCCCCAAACCCCTCAACCCTAAAACTCTAAACCCAAAATGCCAGTACACCCCAAGCAACATTGAACAGGTGCTGAAAAAGTCGCAACATGCCGCTGCGTGAGCAACCGCAAGGTTCGCTTTTGATCACAGTGGAGAAATGAAAAAATGCCAAAAGCGCAACACTGTTGCTGCTAGCTTTAGGCTATAATGGCTGGGCAAATGCATGCGTAATGGAGCAATATCTGTGAAGTCACTCTACACCAACGCTCGCCCTGCTTAAAACTTGCCCGTGAAACTACTGCTGCCAGTAGAGACTAGTAACTAGTGCCTAACTAGTGCCGACCTTGCAGGGTCGAACACGTAAACCGCACAAAAGCATTCTAAACATGCCAGACAAGGGACCCTCAGCTAGGGTCGACGGGAGGGTGGGACCCCACCCGATCCAATCACACAACCAAAAACGTTACGGGTTGCGTGGGGGGGAGATTCTCCTTATTGCCTCTGAATCAAGTATTTTGACAATGCGGGCAGGTCCCGCCCCGCCCCCCTACAGCTAAGCGACCTGATAGGGACCCACACGCGGCTTTCACCTGGCAGCCTGTGGAGGCCTGGTTTAAAGTGAACAAGCTCCACAGAGCTACAGAGCTGCCATGGCTTTCGCCATAGATTATATTTCCAGCTTCCTTTGTAAAACGTGCGGACCATACAAGGGCCTTCAATACAGTCACACTCGCTGGATTGTAGTTGCGATTGATTAGACGTTGGCACTCGACGAAATCGCAGACGGACAACCAAAGGTCATGTGAACTATTTTGGAGAGGGGATGGACTTGCAATTGGGATCATTAGTGCACCCACTGGTTTGCCTCCACGAGTTCGGAAGAGCAGCCAGCTTCTAAACTATACGTTTGCTCAGTCCCGCAAGGTTCTCATCCGCAAATTTGAGGGATCTAGATCTCCACTTGATGTAAAACTTTTCGAACGCTTCGACGACCCTCTTGATAGTGACAAGGAGCTTGTTTGTTCTGCCGGTCGAAAACCGTGAAATAGTAGCGCAAGAACGGCATGCCCAAAATGAAGACTTCTCCAAATTGTGACTCCTTTCGTCAGCCAACGAAGGAAGTTCCACGTGCGCAGCTAAAGAGCCTCCAACGCAGATTGCTCTTGCAGCTCTCCTTATCCACCTTCATGAAGGCCCCTCTGCAATATGGGTTGCCATTGTTGTCCAGAACCTGGGACGGTGATTGAAATCAGTGACGCAGCCTTTTTCAGGGCACACCTGGCCTTGAAAATGTATGCCCGAGGTGGGAGGACCACCTGAACCGGGGACATGATCCGACTTCTCCGTGCAGAGAACCGCACACCTCTGCGCCGTCCAGCTCGAAGTACAAGGTCGGCAATTGATCCAAGTTGCTGCAATCTTTCTTCACCTTATGGAACTAGGCATCACGATGTCTCGCAACCTGCGGCTGTGACTAACAGATACTAACAGCGCCTTCTGCTTCAAGGCATCCGTAATGTGGCTTGCAGAGCGTGGGAAAGTCAAGAGCGACGTACCAGAATCGATGAGAGCCCCACCTTCACGTGCAACACACGGAGCAAGGAAGGTCCACAGTTGTAACGCTTTCCCGAGGCCCGAGGCTGTGGCAGGAAGGTTTGCAGAGACTCGTCGTGTCAATGCCATCCAGGTCCACCTGGCGACAGCCCGGCATCCGCTGGCAGGCGACGACGGACGACGGTTGCACCGGCCTTGCCTTGAACTGCGAAAGTTTCGTTGCCCAGTGGCTGTCTCCAGAAACATCCACGGACTGGAAGCCTGGGGGCACCGTGACCCGCGGAGGAGAGGCGGTGCACCAGTGGCAACATGTCCCAACGCTCGGATTATGGCCTGCATCATGAGCCATGGCGCTGATGGATGGCCCCAACCTAAGCGCAGGCACGGCGAGCGAGTACGTTGCGCTTCGCCGGAGCGCAGCGACAGGCACCGAATCGCCGAGGCGCTTCAACCAGCCCGGGCTCGCTGTGCCACCTGCGAGGGAAAGAGCGCGAGAGAGCAAGAGAGAGAGAGAGAGAGAGCAAGAGAAGAGAGAGAGAGCAAGAGAGAGAGAGAGAGAGAGAGAGAGAGAGAGAGAGAGAGAGAGAGAGAGAGCAAGAGAGAGAGAGAGAGAGAGCAAGAGAGAGAGAGCAAGAGAGAGAGAGCAAGAGAGAGAGAGCAAGAGAGAGAGAGAGTAAGAGAGAGAGAGAGAGAGAGAGCAAGAGAGAGAGAGAGAGAGCAAAAGAGAGAGAGAGAGCGAGAAAGAGAGAGAGAGCAAGAGAGAGAGAGCAAGAGAGAGAGAGAGAGCAAGAGAGAGAGAGAGAGAGAGCAAGAGAGAGAGAGAGAGAGCACGTCTGCGACACTTGCCATCCGCTTGCCCGACGGCACCTCGCTGGTAGCAAAGTGCGAAGGAGTCCAGGCGCATCTCCTCCAGGAGCGACCTGGCAGACACGGAACTTATGCCAAGCCGCACTTGGGGCGCTGGGGGACACGGCCTCACATCGCACCTTTCTATGCGGTCTTGCGAGCGTCTGAGTTCATGCTGTGTTTTCGCGCGGTGTGCCAAGAGGTCTCGAACGGCAGACGGTCGAATCAGTCGCAAAACTGTGCTGCCCCGTGAAGTGTGAAAGAGAATTGCATTCCACTACCGCGACTTGAAGAAGTCCACATTTTGCATCTCCAGATTCAGGATCCCTATGCACCAGTTCCCCGAACCGAGCCCGGAAGCCGCAAGACTTGAGCTTCATTCCAGGCCCATGAGCCATGACGCAGGAAGTTCGTAATCTCAAGCAGTAACTCGCGACAAGCTTGACCCAATCGTGTCAGAGTCACCTGTCTTCGCTGGAATCGCCGCTGAAGCCATCAGGGATTCTCTTCCTCTTGTAGCAGTGATTCAACGGTCACAGATGGTCTCGTGGCCACAGAGCTATCCGTATGTGAATGTGAAACGCCGACCAAGGCTCACATGAGATAGACCAACAATTCCGGAAAAAATTGCCTGAGTTGACTGTGCAGGCTCACGGTCCCAGCATGATGGCTCAGTAGAGAATGTCTGTTCCTTACTGAGCCGAGAGCATGCCCGGTTTTCCAGAACTTCAATTCGTGGCTTTGCACCATCCAGAACGTCATATCGGAGGCGGCCACGGGAGAGTCTCCTCAGCTTGCCGACTTGCCGTACGAGCATCTGATTCGTGTCAAAGACTTCTTGCAAAATAACTCAGCGTGAGATGCCTGGAATGCTGCATGCAACAAAGGCTCGTCTGCCTAGACGAAGGGTTTCGAAGCCCTTGCGCTTTGAGGCAGATCAGGTGGAGATGCTACAACTAGCTTGATCAGTTGCTTTGATATGCTTTGATGGCTTTGATGCAAACAGCATATACTTGTCCACTTGCCTCCGCCGTAACCACGTCTCCACTCACAAACTCATGCTCGGCGACGACCTGACTCGTGAGGTGTTGGCAATGCAGGCTGCAAGCACAGATAGGCCCTTGGCATGCTTGGGGCTATCCCTGAAGGAGCTGGACTTCTTGTAGTCATACCTCCAACACAAGCAGGGATGGCGTTAGCACTGAGCTCTACATGCAACAGGCAAGCTCCTCCAACATCTGTTGCGTGGCAAGTGGCATCGAAAGCGTCTTCACGCATGTGTTGCACTTCGTTGACAAGACCAGCACCTGCACAGTACCGGCTCATAGGGAAGCTTGCACCAGAACGTTGCGATAGCTTGCGCTCCTCAAAGGATCCCGTGTCGTAGATCACTGGAAGCTCCTGCTCGCCTGTCACCAGTACTCTTGCACAAAAAGAAATCCGAGCTGGGCGACAGGTGGCTCCAGTAAGAACCACACAGAAATTCAAACTTGGAGTGTGTAATCCCACTAGAATCCACTAGACGTAGATGCAGTCGGAGTTTCCTACCGTGAAGCGACCGCTGTACTGCACATTCAGGTGATTGTCCAGCCTTTGATGGCAGGTCTGCCAGTGCAAACAGCGACGCATGAAATCCATGGACCCACGGCGGGTGCTTAGGCTGTGCACTGGATGCTGTATTCTCTAGAAGGCGTCACAAACTCCTGCAGACAAGCTGGCAAGACCAGCAAGACAAACGTGCTGAGCAATAGAATCAGCAACAGCTCCTGCTTGTTTGCATCAGCTCGCTTTGAAAGTGCCACAAAGCTCTCGGAGTCGCCCTGACGTTAACATGCCAATACGATGGTCCCCAGATGGCCAGAGAGTCCCAGCCCCCTCAACACTGGCGCATACCTTCTCGGCGAATGCATTTATCATGCCGTCTCCAACCTGTCGAAGCTTCTGCTGATTGGGAAACCCAAGCTGCGTGCAGCCGAGGATGGGTGGGCAAATCTCAGGCACATCTACGCTCTGCCTCGCTGTCAGCTCCGACAGCAACTTTCTTGGACAGGTGCATGGTGCTCACCTCAAAGCAGTCTTCAAAATGAAAAGTCATGTGCTTGTAAACTTTTCTATGCGGAGTTCTGTCAGGGCCCTGGCTGTTGTCCGCATCGGTCGAGCATTGGCCTTCCAAGCGAGCTGTGGCAGGCACGTCGGCGCTCAGGCCACAGGAAGCAGCACATGCTTCGTGTAAGGACTGTCTTCTGCCCGTGATCTGGGAGCCTGGTGCAGCGGGTCTTGCCGATGACCATGCGGCCGCAAATGGCCTTCAACCTGTAACGACTACAACTGCAAGCACGTGATTGCGACACTCTGCCATGCACGGCTTCCCGGCATTGGCAGCAATCTTTGCAGCCCATGAAAGCTGCGCTGCCTAGCGAGCATCACAGCATGGATTCTTTTCCAATCACTGAGGTTTCCGGCAAAAAGTTTACGGCATCCTCTGTGCCAAGAAACTATCAGGACCACGACGAAAGAAGATAACCTGACAGGAACCGATTTGCCATGCAGTGAGAGAGTGAAAGTGGGAATCAGAGCGACAGCGCGAGTTCGGGCGAGAGAGCGTGAGAGTGTGAGAATGCGAGAGCCTGAGAGTGTGAGAGCGTGAGTGTTGGTGTGAGAGTGTGAGAGTGTGAGAGTGTGAGAGTGTGGGAGTGTGGGAGTGTGGGAGTGTGAGAGTGTGAGAGTGTGAGAGTGTGAGAGTGTGAGAGTGTGAGAGTGTGAGAGTGTGAGAGTGTGAGAGTGTGAGAGTGTGAGAGTGTGAGAGAGTGTGAGAGTGTGAGAGTGTGAGAGTGTGAGAGTGTGAGAGTGTGAGAGTGTGAGAGTGTGAGAGTGTGAGAGTGTGAGAGCGTGAGCGTGAGCGTGCGGGTGTTTGTGTGAGCATGTGTCTCTGTATGTGTGTGTCTTTGTGTTTGTGTGCTTGTTTGTTGTTCCTGTGTTTCTGTGCCTCTGTCTTTCTGTGTGTTTGTGTGTTTGTGTATTTGTGTGTGTGTGCGCGCGTTTGTGAGTTTGCGTGTTTGTGTGGTTGTGTATGTGTGAAACAGAGGGTGCAAAGTTTTGGCGAGGGAACAGTTTGATCTTTCCGCCGATCCCTGCTGTTCCGAAGTCCATTCTCTTTCACTGTTTCCCTGTCTCAGGAAGCGAAGCTCCGCTACCATGCAAAATTCAGCTATACAACCCACACTGTCAAAAGCAACCAAGATCAATTCCTTTCCGCAGCACCATACACAGTCCAACAGACGTTCGTTTGTGACCTCAAGCCGATCTGTCCAGTCTTGAGCCAATCAATGCAATTCGGCATCATAGCATTCGATAATGATGCATCATGTTCATTGGGTGCATTCTTGGGCTCATGTCATCTTTTTCACTAGACAGAGAGAGAGAGAGAGAGAGAGAGAGAGAGAGAGAGAGAGAGAGAGAGAGAGAGAGAGAGAGAGAGAGAGAGAGAGAGAGAAAGAGAGAGAGAGAGAGAGAGAGCGAGGGAGCGGCGTGTTACTTGAGTCCACGTGAGCTCACCTACATTGCATTTGCATCGGCGAATCGTGCTCGAACAAACTGCCGAGGCCCCCTCACGCTCGCGCCAGCGCGGTCTAACATCTGCCACCCTGAAAACCGAGACAGTGGTCAGATGTCGCGTGAAATGAGCTGACTGCTGCTCTTTATGTTCATGCCCACGCCTGCTATGCTTCAGTAGAACGGACAGCAGGGCACCACACCTGAGACAAACTCGTTTCAAACAAAAATTTTCAAAGGGGTGTCACCTGCACTTTCAGCCAGGGAGCTGCGCTTGCACGTGCAGCTGCAGCGGCCCTGCTTTCAGGTGAGCCAAATGGCTGCGGTCAGAGCACTGAATTTGCTCCTTGGCTCAGAATTACATCAGCAAATAAGCAAAATGCTGCCAAGACTTTGCGAGCCCCTGGATAGAGCGCCTCCACGCCACTCGAATCCTTGAAGGTCACAAAGCCAAAGCCTCGGTGCCTGATGCTGGAGACATCCACTTCCGCATTCCCAAGGACATATCATATACCGAGCAGAGAAAGAACTGCCTCTGGGTCTGAGCATCCATCATCACCTCAGAGACCCGGGCTTGTCGTGGGCACATCAACGGTGCTCCGAGGGCTGGGCCACAGCATCATGGATCTCTCCATACTGACCAAAGTGAGATTTCAGCTTCTCCAGGTCGCAGGAGGCAGGTAGCCCGCCCTGGCATCATTTTGATCGGACGATGTGCAGAGCGAGGATACAGCCAAATACTCCGAGACACCACGAAAATCTTCACGACGTTGTACATGCCACCGCCAGACTCTTCGCGTCCCTGTAAGAAGGCTTGCATATTATCACTCTACAGTACTGAGAATTGAAATATCTTTGGTGCGGTCCTGCTTTCCGCCCTGCTTGGTATCACGCACAGCCTGAGACAGCCAACATCATAATCTTCACGAAGCCGAGCGCAGATATGCTCTTGCGAAGCCACGCTCTTCGCTGAGGAGTCGACGCGCTTGCACGTGATCGTCTTGCCGTCAACTGAATGGTTGGCACCTTAAGTCGCGAGGCTTCCACGACTCTGCTGTGCCGGAGACGGACGAAAAGTCTAGGTCGAGAGCGAAGGGCGGCTTCCATGGCAGCACTGGTGGTGAATGTAACGAAGCCGAAGCCCCGCGACTGCCCACTGCCCTGCGGCAGCAAAGTTAAGCACAGTCAAGCCCCACAATGCTCTCAACTGGCTCTCAACTGCTGAGCACGTGAACAGAACATAGCAGTACGGCAAGTAGTCTCAACATGTAACATGCCTGCAGCCAGGAAGAGATAACCAAGACGTTATGACCCAAATCTTCGGGAATCAGCAGAAACAAAACAGGCAACGCGCGGGCACAGACAGGACAACATGCGAATACTTGCAAGACCGACGAGTCATCGCCGGCAAGCATCACCAATACGTTGCAGATGAACGAGCGAAAGCCCACAGCGAAAGACATACATACAGGGGTAGTGGCAATGTTTTAGGCAAGGTGACATGGTCTCTGGGTTCGTCCGATTGCAGTCATGAGGCCAAGCACGTGACAGTCTGAGTGGCCTTGTCCAACATGACAACACACTCCGCGATCTCGCCATAGTGCCCGAAGTGATCCCTGCAGCCACAGTAAGCGCCAAGGAACTCGCGCACACTTTGCCATTCGGCCAAGCCCTACCACACGGCTCATCGCGAATTTGGCCCTGGTTTATCGACTACAGGATCTCGGCTTGAGCAGGACCCACCGCATCTTGAAGTGCAGCGGCTGGTCCGTTCTGCCACCGTCCCAAGTTTCAGCATTCAAGTAGGGGTGCAAACGGTCATAGTCTGTACCACCAAGCGCGGAGCAGAGAAAGCTGTGATCCTGCTTGGCAACCCTCTTTGCGGCAATCTGCCAGGTACACAGTGCAAAATCCCCTGTTCTGCGCACCTTTCAGTGGCTCGTGTGGACATCCTGTGGAAACCCGCTACAAGCAACAAAGACAGCCAATAAACGGCTCTTCACCTGCACTAGTCGCCAAGCGCCATGACTCTGTCAAACCCCTGGCGCAACACGTCGTTCCTCACACTTCCTGTGGCTGTTAGAGCCTAGAATCCTAGAACTGGGTCGCCAGAGGCTTGACATCTCGCCTGGATCTCTACTCTACGCGGCTACGCATGTGCTAAGCTGCTAAGCCATGCTTTACCTGGCCTTGGCTCTAGGACGAGATCTAAACTCCTCTTGCTACGCAGTGCTAACTATCAGAAGCCGCAGCCAACCTGCTCTGCGCTCTGAGCAGGAAACTCCCAGTTCAATCCAAGCAGAAAGGAGTTTTGCATTGGACTCCTTGGACACCTGCAGCCCAGGAGACCAAGGCTCGTGCTCTAAGCTCTCCTTGGTGGTGGCATGCGCCAGGTTGCCGACATACACCTCACCGAACCGGATGCGGACATTGCCCTGGGTGCCACCAGCGCCAGCATGCCCACCTTTGTGTCAGAACCGGCCATGGACCACGGCTGTGCTGAGATAGAGTGTTTTGTAGTGCACGTCTTGCTTCCCGTCTGAAGGCCTTCTATCTACCTACTCAAGCGGTTGGTCCTGATCTGATTCGCAGACGTCCTGTCGCAGAGATGCTCGGGGGCACTTGCACGCTCAGCAGCTTCATGAGTGGATGCATGGAGAGGAGCCAGAATGCTGAAGTGGGAAGCAAGTGAATGGCTTGGCGCCCATGCAAGAACCAAAAAGATGCTTCTTTTCCTGTGGCCTTGGCATCTTGCAGGATACATCTTTTGAATGCCTGCTTCAGCTTCTAGCTTGGTGGCGAGTTCCGCAAAGCCGTTCCGTCTCGCATACTGGGTGGCGGTCTTGCCCTGCACGACATGCGCAGGTTGAATCGCGAATGCGAGCCAGCTGGGACGTGTACAGATGACCATTGAACAAGCACCATGCCTCGTTGTCCACCTCCGAGACTTCGGCTCCTGCTTCGAGAAGGAGTTGGCAGCAATGCTCACGACCGGCGGCAGCAGCTTCCATCAGCGGTGTTCGACCGGCGGGATCAACCTGCGGGCCGTCTAAGCAAAGGCGCTCAAGCTTTTATTTTTCCTGTCGCCTGGCGCACATCAGCGCGGAAGACCAGGAGCTCCTTCACGACTTCCAGACCTGGCATCCGGAGGGAGGGCACAGGACAGTGACTCGTGCGCGTAACGGCATCGTGACGGCGCACTTGTCCCCGAGGAAGCAGAGCTGGCCAAGGCCAGCACACTGCAACCCTTGCTGGCCTGTCGACTTCAAGACATGCCACTGGCTCGTCTTCGGCAACTTTGAAAATGCGGTTAACATCTCGTCGTTCACAGCTAATTAGCGTCTCGAGACTCCTTTTTATTGGCGGTTGCCCTGCTTGGTCTGAGGTCACATCGACACAGCACGACAGGGAATAGTACACGGCCCAGAGGCCCACAGACAAACAAGCGGAAGCGAGACAACATCCCGGCTGTAAGGCAGCACAAAGCAGCACATGGGGGGTCCTCCACCGGCAGGTTTCACTGGGCTTGTCCACATACGGGTATCACAAAGACATTACGGCGATCCAGATAGAGCATGTCAAGCAGCGCAAAGACGGACCCAACGAAAGCTGAGCTGAACATGTTCGAAGATTCCTCCCCTGTCGACTTCGCATGTTGAGCAGGCATGTTGAGCAAAGGCTTGCATCTGTACAGGCTTTGGACATTGGAGCACCGGCAGCGAAGTGTCTATTCTGACAACCATGAGGTAAAGCACGGCTCCCTCCAGTCTCGAGACCCGTTTCAAGTCCATGAACTCGCTTCTCATTTTGTTCCGGCCAGAATTGCGGTGTCAAGCTGCTGCGAAGCCTGCAACTGAAAGTGCCAGGCGAAGCCTGTAACTGAAAGTGTCCGGCAGAGCCAGGCGCAGACGCAACTATAGCAGCATGCACATGCCCATCCCTCAGGGAGGGCGGGTGGGTGAAAGCTTGAGAGGTATCGTGCGGCCGTTAGCACTCGGACCGCGGCTGTTCAAACATGTTCAAGAACTATAATGAACTCGCTTCTCATTTTGTTCCGGCCAGAATTGCGGTGTCAAGCTGCTGCGAAGCCTGCAACTGAAAGTGCCAGGCGAAGCCTGTAACTGAAAGTGTCCGGCAGAGCCAGGCGCAGACGCAACTATAGCAGCATGTACATGCCCATCCCAAAACAGCTGAACTCGCTTCTCATTTTGTTCCGGCCAGAATTGCGGTGTCAAGCTGCTGCGAAGCCTGCAACTGAAAGTGCCAGGCGAAGCCTGTAACTGAAAGTGTCCGGCAGAGCCAGGCGCAGACGCAACTATAGCAGCATGTACATGCCCATCCCAAAACAGCTGCTCGTTTCCCAAATCAGCTCGCTCCCTGGTGTAGCCGATCCCAAACATTCTGCACAATACGCTCCACTTCCACATTTCGGAAAGCTTGGGCGAGACTTCGGCACAAACCTTCTGGGAACTCAGCGCGAAATTGCAAGGAACCAACTGTGTTGTCCCCTCGATGCGGCAGAAGATGTCGGCATCCAGTGCTAGGACAGAAGCCGCGACGAGAGCCAAGGCACCGATGCAGGGACAGGTTGTCGATGTTGATGTGAACTCCTGCAAAGCGGATGCTGTCCCGAAAACGTGAACCGAACTGGCAGCTGTCAGTGACGGCGGTGGTACAGCGAGGCCTGCGAAGAAGCTGTAGTACTCCTGGGCAGAACCAAAATTTGGAAGTACGGGGCTGCGAGAGAGTAAAGGGGATAGACAGTGCAATGGCCATAAACAGGACGTGCAAGGAGAATCTCATAAATGCATTGGCGGTCTTCACCTTCAGTGCGTCTGTCGGTGACAACTGCGTGAGTCCAAAAGGCTGAGCTACACTGCGTAACGGCGGAGGCCCTGGCAGATTATCGCGCGACACTCCCCAGGTCTTGGCAGGCATGCAAATATGTCCGCCACGAATTTTCCCCGAACGCATCCATCCGAGGATTTTTCTCTGTACCTCGGGGCGTCTGAGATCGTACTCAGGTCCAGAGCTTTGGTTCCACCGAAGCACTGGCCAGCCGCAGTGCTTTGCAATTGTTTTGCCAAGCCGAGGGCCTACACCCGGAGGATCCGGCAAAGCTGCTCTCAACGACCCGAGGCTAGCAAGGACGGCAACTTTGCCACGGCCTCTTTTGCAGCCTTGCGAGTGTCCTTTGGAAGCCCTTTGAACAGTTGGCCGAGCCGGCCACCTTTCTGGTAACGACGAACTGAAGCCAATGTTTTCCACCGCCCTCTCAGCTGCACTTCGGCCAAGTCCCGAAGCTTGCTGTTGTAGTCGTGTGAAGCCCCGCCGTGGCGAAGCCGGTACGGATGCAACTCCCCCAATGACTGGAGCTGCAGCTTCACTGACGCCTCCTTCAAGAACTGGTGCACATCCTCCACCGTAATAGTGAAGATCTTGTCCTCCGCCTTTCGCACCCCCAGACGAAGCAACTTGAAAGTGGCTTTGCCGTACAACTGTTGATAGGGGAGGTCTAACGCTAGGCACTCGTCGAACTCTTGAGTTTTCGAGCTTTGCCCCAGTTCCAGTGGATGCAACACCATCGTCCAATGCGGATAGCAGCCCTCTCGCCCCGTGCTGGGTTTCACCAGATCCTTCTTTCGAAGGCGTAAGCCCTCGCTCGGTCTCAGGTACAGCGCGAAGGACAAGAGAAGGTACATCGCAATTTGCAGCGCCCCCATCTGAAGAGCTAGAGTAGCTAAAAGGGCTACCACCTCGAAAGGGATGGGCAAACGGCTCCTTGCTGGACATAGTTTTTGCCAACCATTCAGGCTCTGCTTTACTCGTGGTAGCTTGGACATCCCATGGGACTTCAACTGCGGCATGAAGAAGAGGACGGCCGCAATCATGTATCTCGCTGTCGCAAGGTCCTCTCCCTCCATGTACTGCTCCTCGAGGTACGCAGTCAAAGCCTGATCCACCTGAGCCGTGGGCTTGAGCAGACCCCCGGGGCCTACCACAAGGTGTTGCATGTCCTGCCAGTGGCGATTGTACCGGGCGCGGCAAGGAGCTGACACCGAAGACTGCTGAAGAACTGTCATCTCCGATGACTCTCGCGTCATCTCTTGCCTCGCTCTCTTTCGTCTCTGCTTCTTCTCCGCCCTTGGGATAGCCATCACCTCCAGCGCCACCGCACTCTGAGCCGGATGACCGTCTGGCGCCACGTTGGCCTTCGGGTGCTGCTTTTGATGTCTGGGCTTTCCTTTGTCGCTCGCCTTCCAACTCAAGCTCGCTCCTTGAAGCAGGTTCCGCAGGATCATGGCCGGATAATCCCGTCTTTGGGGTACGACTTGGCACTGACGGGCTCCACACCCCTCTTGACGGATTGTCGCTCGGGTTCCACTCCGAGGGAATCCACCGAAGAATGAAACTCGAACGCGTTCCGAGGCTGAGGGCAGCTACCTGCTGACACACGCGGCGCAGCCCAAACTGTTTGGACCGGCCCCTCGAAAGAGAAAGAGTCGCGGTCATCGAGTCACTAAGCAGCACGTGCTTTTTCCGGAAATTCCCAATCCCCCTGAGCAAATGCTTCACAGCATAGAGTGAAGCGCGGGCCTCTGCAACAGGCAGTGTCAAAGGCCTCCGCCAGCGGTATGAGCCAGTGGTGACCCAATGCCGATCAACACAACTGAAGGGCACCGATAGGAAAGGATGGTTGACTTCTGGTGGCCTCCAGTCGTTGAAGCCTTCCTCGAAGTCATCACTCAGGCGAGGGAGAATATCCTTGAAAGTGTCACAGTCGAGGAAAGCTTGCTCCCTGGGGTCCCGGGCACCTGCATCGCGAAAGCGCCATCTTTCGCAAACTCCACCAAGCCACTTCGCTTCCTCTGGGGAGCAAGCTGCGTGTGTCATGCCCAAGCCATACTCAGAAGCATCCACCGCTGAGAGTCCAGAAGCCCACTCTGCACGAAGGTCCTTTGAGATGAGAGGTAGAATGCCGTCCCACAGCTCGAGCTCCTTTCGGACTTGACGCGGCAGAGGAACCTCCAGCTTCACAAAACGATGGGCCTTGACAAACTCATACACCGCCCCCAGGATGGAGAGAGCCTCACGTCGGCAAAGGCTTACAAATGTCATATGTCCGAGTAGACGTTCAACTGCAGCGCCGGTTGCCCGACCTCGTTGAAGGAGAGCACGAATTGCGTGACGAATCTTCCATGCCCTCTTCCTGGAAGGGCGGAACTTGCCGTCACTAGTATATTCCCACCCTAGCACTGTTGCGTTGTCAACGGAGGTTTCCTCTTCATGCACCTGGAGTCCGGCCTCCTTCAGCACTGCCACAGCCTGAGCGAAACGCTCGCGCACCTGTTGAGAATCACTGCCCATGACAACCAAGTTATCGACATACTGGGTGTGGAGACAAGGGCAGGCGGGCGCACGTTTGCGATCACGAAGACGTGCGTCCTCTCCCAAACCACTGTGCTGCGCCAGCTCCTCGTGGATGCTTTGACATATGAACAAGGCATGAGTCCAGCCCATCGGTACCACTCCCAGCCTGGGAAAAATGATCTGATGGCTCGCGATGGCCACGCCGCCTAAGCTCGTGATCCCAACATCTCCAGCCCTTACCCCGGGTAATCCAAACACTTCACGAAGAGGCAAGGGCAACTCCAGATGGTAGAAGGCGTCCTTGAGGTCCGCTTGGCACACTGTGAGATGGTCCTCTGGGCCAAGCTCAATAGAACCGAGGCTCTCACCCGTGCAAAGACTCACTCCTGCTGGCGGCTTGAAATGCGCATTGCTCCTACGGGCATCAACGATCATCCTGAGCCGGTTGTTCTTCTTCGTGACGAAAAAGATGGCCACCTCCTCACGTGGGCGTTGCGTGGAGTAGTCGATGAGGTTTGACTGCGACATACGCCTCAAAAATTGCGAGTACACCTTACGCTCCTTCAGCCGCGGGTCAAAGTACAGCCGCTTCACACCACACGCCGCTACTTGCACCTGCGCTACATCTGGTGGCAACAGCTGAGTCTGAACGAAATCATTGACCCGTTCTCGCCCGCAAGGGCCCCACAAATCCGAAAGCGGGATGGGCAACCAACCGGCCTTCGGCAGTGAAACCAAATCGGGGTCATAGCTGGCGACGGCGCCCACGGCCTGGTTCTCCGTGTAGCCGCCACCGGCACGGAGCTGCCGAAGCGCCCCTGTGCCCGTTGGGCCCAAAGGTTGGCCCATATCCAAAATGGAATCGTGAACGATCTGTTGGATCTCCCGCTGTGCTTCAGAGACCCCCAAAAATGAGTCACCCCGAGCATGGAAACGGTCACGCTCAGACGGGGGACCATACATTGAATTCAGAGCAGACAAAGTATAGTTCACCTCAGAAGTTTGATGCCCCCTACGTTGATGCCGGCGCTGAACCTTGCGGGATACGCCTCCAAGAGGTATGGAAACATCGTCAACCAGAGGCACTGGAAACAAGTCACGAGGCTTCCTCCAGTGATCATGCACAGGACCTAATTGCACACGGCCAGCCCCGGTCCCTGAAAAGCCGGCCGCCATTGCTTCACTGACCATCCTCGCCCGCGCGGCCTTTGGCTCCCTTTCGAGCCAAGTCACGCTCTTCGCGGGCTTTCCTAAGATTCTTTGCGAGCGAAGCATCCCGCTCAACCTCTGCCTTCACAAAATCGAGGAGTTCTGGGCATACCATCAATGTCGAAGCCAATCTTGTAGTACCTCCAAAGGTCTGCTGCTCCTCCAATGACAGACGCCCTCCGACCGCTTTTGACTCGCTCTCCTTGGCCTTTTCCGCATAAGCAAACTCGATCGTTTGCAATCGCCTGAACATAACTTCGAGGCACAACAGGTTATAGCCATTAAGCTGGTCCACCTGCAAGGCGTGCTTGATGACATTCGAGAGCTGCCAATGCTCCTGGATTCCCCATGCTGACGAATCCACTTTGCAAAGTTGCCGCACTCGCTCGTGATGTCCCTCAATGCCTAGCCCCTCCACAAGGAGATACTGCAAACACCACTTGGCGGTCCTCGGTCCGGACAAAGACCAAAGGGCAGGCTTCTCCTCACACAGAGCAACTACCTCCTTCAAAGGGGCCTCGGCACGGCCGGTGCCATCCACAGCCTGGTGAACCGTCCGAATATCCCAACCTCCGGGCCGGCGCAAGAAAACTGCGCGATCCCGTCCCCGAATGCACATCACGAAGACGGAGTTGCCGGCCGGTGTTGTGTGAACAGCCTTTGCCGACTCGTTTGGACCAGCCACCACCCCAGGAACGTGATCACCGTACTTGAATCCGGCAGCCTCCTCTGCTGCGAGCCAATAGAGGCCGTCAGCATCGAAAGTTTGCGCTCCTGCCGCCGCTAGCGCCGGCACTCCACCTGGTGGAAGGGCAGCACCGGCACCTCCTAAAGCCGCCGCTCCAGCTGGACCCGCTCGACCGCGCTCATCTGCCACTAACTGGGCCGCCGTGGCCCGAAAAGCTAGCAGCTCGGCCGGAGTGAACACTGGAAGTCGATACACCGACCCTGCTCGCAATCCGGCCGGCATGGCGCCTCCAGCTGGGAGCACACGTAGCCCGCGGAGGTCGTCATTGGCCAAGGAAATGGACTCAATGTAAATGTCGCGGTCGGGAGTGATAATGGCATAATCCTCGCCCTCCAAGTGATGTAGAAGAAGACGCTCATGCCATAGACTAGGCCCTGGTACGTCGTACAAGAGAAGCACTCTTCGATCAGTTAACGCCATGGCGCCTCAACCTGAGTGTGGCAAGTTGCTGTTGCGCCAATGTGCGCTGATCCTGAACCCTGCGAGGCGACTCACTTTCTATCTCGTCCTCAATGGCTTGATGGCGAGGCCGTCGGCACCAACCCACAGCTGAACACAATGCCCAAAGGATCCAATTGCACAGAGCCGTCAGCACCACGAGTATCCAAGAACCGAAGCCTATCTCGCCCTCTCTCAATGCAGAGCGTTTCCGGTCAGTACGTTTTTGTTGCCTATTGTCAGGACAACACTCTTCCACTCGGTCAGCACACTCTCGAGCCGCTGCTTGAGAAGCGGCACGTGCCACCGCCTCCACTGTGTCCCACTGATTCCTCTGATTATGCAAAAGATCTCCTGAAAAGTAGCCACTCAGGAAAGTGCACTTATGCCAGAGAACAATGGAGAGCAACGAACTCGGACGACCCATGGGAAACTATCTGCCCCTTGAAAGCTTGAGAGGTATCGTGCGGCCGTTAGCACTCGGACCGCGGCTGTTCAAACATGTTCAAGAACTATAATGACCGTTGTCTCGCAAATGCAAACTACCTTTCGCAAAATGCTGGAACCGAAGATCGTGAAATTGTTGAAGGGGGACCGCGTATCAACCTCGACTCGACGTAACTTGCATCCTGGTTTGTGTAGCTTCACGAGATATCGGATTTTGCCCAAACAGCACGAAACTGCAGGTAATGCAGCTGTGCTTGGATTGGGGAATCCCAGATCAATCAAGTGATTTTGAATACACAAAGGGATCGTAAAACGTCATATGCTGAAATCAAAGACCACATGAGCTCGTTGTTGGAAACTTCAATGAGGGACCGTCCACGGCTTCCCGAAGATATTGCTTGCGAAGATAACCTGCAGAAATGTAAACAGGACCATACCCTTTGTCTGCTGAGATCTTGCCAACAGAGCTTCGGTTCCTGAAGCCAGCAAAGAGTCTTTTTCATTCAGAACGGCATTGTGGGCTGCGGCTCTCAGGATTGGAGGCTTCGGGCATTTGACAATAAGCCCTCGCACCATGATTCCAATTCTTGTCCCGTCTCTGCATTCAGCTTCGGGTTGAAAGATGACGGCAATCGGAACCTGGTGAAGAAAGGAGTCCGGTTCTACTGCTCGTTGGGCTTGCTATCGAAGAAGAGACGTAGTTTGACCATGTTTGACCTTGCGTACAAGGTCTCGGACTGATGCCTCGAAAGATGCACGACAATACCGCGCCAAAGGAATAAATTTATCTCCAGGCATGAGTAGAGTTTGCGCTGCTGGAGGAAAAGTCTCTGGATCAAAACTGTATGATGCAAAGAAATGATCTTCCGAATCAAACCAGATCAACCAAGGTCAGCTGCTGTACATACTCAAAGACAAGAGCTGCAAGGTTGCGGAGCGATTCGCGTGGCTCTGCTTTGGTGGCAACGGCGGAGATTTCGAAGGTTCATGTACATGTCACGCGGCTTGCATTGCTGCGGCTGCTGTTCCTGCTGTGCTGCGGCTGAAACTGCGTTGGCTTGTCATACATCTCGCAGAACTTGCTGGCTGCCTTAATTTTGAGTCTCGGTTGGCTGAAACTTGCAAACAATTGGATTTATTGGACCATCCGCCTCCATTCGGACATGATACTAGTCAGTTAGTCTTTGTAGCTGCCGATTTGGAAGATCTCTATCCACGAATAAACTTAGATTCATTGCAGGTTTCGCTTCGTTCTGGACTCGACAACTGCTACGGCGTGAATCAGGCTGCCATTGCGAAGCTAGTCCTCATCAACCTACACAACAAAGTGGTGTTCATCAATGGCAAGATCTACAACAAAGCACGCTCTTCAAGTATATATTGGTGAGCGCATATAGCTACAGATGCTGCAAAAATACACCGAGAACATCATTGCTTTTGAAACTGGACTACTATCCAAATATTATGGTTATGTTGATGACACTGCCAGTGTTTTCCTCGGAAATCAAGCCACTGTTCAGTCTTTCTTGTCAGCTTTTCAGCGTTGACACGGAGAAAATGTCCTTTTCACGACTCGATTTCTTGGATGTTACCATCAGGTATGACGGAAAGAAATTGAATACCTTCGTGCACCGAAAGCCGCAACACAATCCACAGTATCTTCATGCGTACAGTGAGCATCATTTGCCATGTCGAAAACATATCTTCAAGAGTCGAGCTGCGAAATTTCTGGTCTTGAGCAGCACAGAGTCTGGTTCACTTGATGACGTGGATTCTATGCGACGGCAGCTCGCAAATAGATTGCATGCAGGATCATGGCTTTCATAGTCTACTTCCGATGCGGATCGTCGGATGATTTTGTTACACAAGCTTCGAAGTCAGCATGAACCGGAAACCCCGTCGACCTCTTCAGCGAATTGTTTTGTCTGCAAGCTCGAGTACAGTAACGTGACCAAACGACTTGGACTTCAATTCATGGAACATGCTGAAAGCTACATTGTCACGTTTTGAAACGTATAAACCGTCAACACTGCCCGAGGCTACGTTGACAGTGGCATGGAAATGTTCTTTCAGTCTTTTCCGGCAAACCTACCGGTACAACTTCGTACCGGGGTGAGGGCTGGGTGGGCTTTCTATGTGCATGTACATAAAAAATAGCAGCACAATGTCCAGGCTAACACTGATCAAGAGCTGCTTACCGCAGTTGTATGGCTGACGAGCGCCTACATGGCACGCAACCGGTACCCGTAGATCAGTTCCCGAAAGCGATTGAGTAGTGTGTGGATCGCTTTCGCCCTTCGAGTCACCCTGGAACGTCGCGAAGCAACCATGTGCACATGGACACACTCCATTCGTCAGGGGAGAAGGCAGTCTTGTGAATCCCCGGTGCTCGCGGCGCAAGGCATCACGTCGATTGTTTCACAGCAGATCCCTGCCTTCTGACACACGCTTGGAAAACCCCGAAAGCGCCACAAAATTTTCCGGACAGCTTGGGAAAGCGTACCGCGCAGGAACCCTCGTCACTCAGTCGAAAGACCCAAGGCTTTGACGAGCGGCTTGCATTTTGCTTTGCCTCGTTAGGATCCGCAGCTGCTTGCAGAAGGATCTTCGTGCAGCCTGCACCTGACTTTCCATGCAAAAGAAGACGTTTCACACGACAGGGATCATAGGGTACTGTATCCTCTCGCGGTCTCATCTCCTATCATGCTATCATGCACCAAGCACGGCGGATGGACGTACCCGGAGAAATGCCAAACTACTTCGCAATGCATCCCTAAAAGGGCCTGAAGGGCTGTTGCATCTGTTCCGCGCTCCGAAGGAGGCAGCTGAAGTCTGTTAGCAACCACACTGAGGCCAAGAGCATCCTCGCATGCAGGCTGCAGACAAAGCTGTCAGCTGCGCCCCGCTACGGTGATGAACATCGGCCTTCGGCCATGTTCTTCACTGTCAGGCATTCCCCTCATTCTCTGTTGCACCTGCCGCCGGCCTGCCGCTCAAGGAGCTCGCTAGCCACATCACACCAGCCATTTCCTCAGCTCTGAAGCTCTGACCCTACCCCGGTCGAGACTTGGCACAAAGCTCCCCAGTGAACTTTCACCGAAACACTGCATGCCAGAGTCAGTAGTGACTGGCCGCCGGCACCTGTCGAAACAGGCTGCGCACCTGCTGGAATTTCGCAAGAGTTTCAGGCCTTGCTCGGCATGGCATGCATTCCTCGACTGGTGTGATGTCTAGGGGGGACCACAAGCACAAGAGAAGGCAAGGCAAGGACAACGGGAAGCTTGCAGCCCAGAGGCAGCTCTTTGTGGTAGCAAAGCCAGAGCAATGACCGATACTGTCGTTCGGTTTCCGAAGGTCTTCCGGCTGCTGCTACCAAAACTTCCGCCTGTTGCAGACACAACGCAAAGAAAATTATGCAGCCCATTGAAAACAGCAGCGATCCTGCATTCGTGAGTCCCTGCTGCCTCTGCGGCTTTTCCGGCCTCTTTCAAGTCAAGCAGCAGCCTGCCACAGATTCGACAACAGCCTCAAATACACCCACCCGCGCCCGTGAACCGGTTCAGTCTCTCGGTTCAAGACTGGCAACTTGCACGGGTTCGTGCAGTTCGTGCGCCTTCTGTCCAGCTTTGGGCTGATTTCCGGTGGATTCTGCAATTCCCACACCAATCGCCTGGTCTGCGAATCACTTTCAATGCAGACCAACTCCAGGCTCCAGACCAACTCCAGAAACATGTAGCAATCGAAGCTTCGAGTGGCTGCTCTGCTGTCAAAGTCGAAAGGAAGTCAGCGAGCTGGCCGTCCCCGAAAGTGCCGAATTGAGCTTCAAAGCTGGCCTGTTGACAGACACAGCCCTGCGAGGCAGACCGCCAAGCCTGGAATTCTGTGCAAGCCTGATTCCACTGGTCTTTGGCAGGGGTCGACAGCTCCGCGAGAGCGGCGGAGAGCCGGTTCATGAGCTCGTCGCTTGGCTCCTGTGAGATACATGCATGATTTCTGTCTTGTGCAACCGGAGCGCTTTGGAATGCGTTTAAAATTCCCCTGCACGTCTCTGTACGGTCCTGCGCTTGTCTGGAGTCTGCACTTGAAGCTTCCGTCAGCTCTGCTCCTCATTGCGCTCAGAAGTCAACACCAATGTTATGCGTTCCGAAGTTTTCAACGCTAAATTCAGTAGGATCAGTGAGTTTGTGATTTGCATGTGTGTATGCGGTATACATATATGTACGTATATGTATATCTCTCTCTTTCTTGCTGTCTCTCGCCCTCCCTGTCTCTCTTTCTCTCTCGCTCCTTCTCTCGTTTACAAGCCCTTCCATTTTTTTACAATCCCTACTTCACGAAAGTGGGATCAGGTCCAGCATTCTCAAATTCATCAGGATCCTTGTCAACAATTTCATCCGTCCGAACTCTCACTGACCGACCTCGGGCGCCAAATATATCAAGATCAGCAAAATCAGCATCGAGCAAGTGAACGGACATCAACAATTCAAAACCGAAAATTGGCCAAATGGGTCGAGTGAGTGTGATCGAAAACCAAGGCGATCGCCTAGGCCTGAAGCCGCAACGATGATGAGGCCACACGATCACAGCTGATCCATCGAACGATGCTATTGTTATCACGATCAGTCTTGTTGTAACTCTTCGTGATATATTTACGAAGATTGCCTTGAAGTCTTCAGCCGCGACCGCTCCTCTGACCTCTGTGGCAGTTCGAGGCCCTGAACCACTTCCAGAGCGAAGCGCCTCCAACGTCTTCTCCAACACTCTAACCTGAAAAGGTTCGTGCAGCGTTGCAAACGCTGCCTAAGCTGGTCAGTGGAATGCAAGGACTGCTGCAGGCAAGTCTCTACATGATTTTTGCAGCGGATGTCTTCGTCCAAGCTGGAGATCCGATCCAACACATCAGCCTTCTCCTGACTCTGTTGAGTAAGGAGAACGCCCCAGGTTGCAAAGGTACTGTCAGGGAACTGAGGGTCTCCTTGGTGAGTTGGCTTTGTAGTTGGACCAGGCTGGCCAATGAAGCTGCCATAGCATTTCAGGCGGTGAACACGGCTACTTCACTACGTATCAGGGCCGAATTCCGACAGCGCTTCAGGACCGGAATGCATGGATCCAATGAATGCAAGAAACCATGACATTAGCGCAAAGCCTCGGGAACAAGAAGTGCATGACCGGCGAGATGCGGGTGCAATGGAAGCTGCATTGATCCACAATCAGACTTGCACGAGCCTTTGCGGACATGGTTGGTTCTAGTCTCCGAGACAAAGGAATAGCAACTCATTTCTTGCTCAGAGCGGTCGCCTTCGTACAGATCTTTGCTGGGTCGGCATTTCCACTTGAAGGTCTTCGGTGCTCGTGTATCGCGGCCCTTGGTGCCATTCTCTTGCGACTCGTGGCTGATTGAAGTTGGGACCCAGCCTTCGAGACATCTTTGGCCTGCAAACGGCCACGGGCGCTGTGGCCTTGAAACTGGCACACTTGTCAAACACAAGACTCGAAAGTCGTCCGTAGAGTACCGAGAAAGCTTCGGACTACTCCGGGAAGCCAGACTTGGATGCTGGCAAAGCCGCTGCTTTGGCGGCTTGTTGGGGACTGCATGGATACAGATCACCTGGAAATCTGCCAGCAAGTAGACTGATTGCGGTAGCTGGAAAAAGCATAGATGCCGTGTCATGGCAAACCGCAGACATGTCCGAAGCCAACATTCATACTGTCCAGAAGCCTCTTTCACCCCACCTCACCTCGCTTCGGGCTTTGGGTAATGCAAATCAAGAACCTTGACCTGCACTCGGCACAGCACGACAAGCATGCTCAGACACCAGATCAAAGAGTCAGAAATACTTTTCTCGTAGCTCCTGAGAAACAATCAGACACAAACCTGCTTGAGACTTGAATGCGAGCTCATAACATTGATAGGGATCAATTCGCTGATGGCTTGCACGTCTCGTCCCAACCCTTCCTTGCCCACAGCCACCAAGTCATTTTTGCAGGAGCGGTGCCCCTCTACGAGAAGACGCTACTTCTTTAATGCATCGTGTTCGCCATCGGGCCATCAACAGCATCGGCCCCTGAGTCGTTTCGGGAGGTCGCGGAAACACAAACCACGGGATTCCGCAGCAAGCAGTGGATGTGCATGGTCCCAGGCTTGGTGTTTCAGCAACTGAGGCATAAGCCACGGCATAAGTATCCACTTTGGGATTGCAGGCGGCACTTTGTCCTCGCGGAGGCCCCACCCAACAAGAACTTTCCGGAGGCGCTCGGGAGCTTCTCCGCAGAAGACACAAGGCATCCGAGGCCAGCACCGCTCGTGCTCGACTGCTTCCTAGTGGGGGCGGAGTGGTCCGCCCGCTTCAGCCCGCTACAGTATTCTTCCGTGCAAACAATGCAAATTGCAGTCCTGTCGATAAATCTGCAGTAGTTGCGATTTCTCGCGCTCGAAATCACCTGTCAACCAGGTCGGCTTGGCGCTGGGGGAGGAAAACAGTATTCAGCCCAGAGTACTTCCCCAAAGTTGGTTGTACTAGCTGGGCACTCGGCCCAAAGCACCGAACTCCCGGGCGTGAAGTTCCCGGAGGAACTGCAGGTGCCTTTCATGCTTGGGGATACCCATACAGGATTTGAATGTGTTGGTCCTGTCGAAACATGCCTCTCTGCATCCCGAAGCTCTTCTGATGCGCGAGCACACCTGGAAGCAAGGAAATTCTCCCGCGACAGCTTCATCCGCAGGCGGTGTATGCTGGTGAAATGATGCGGGCGAGCTGAGTCTGTGGCCTTGCATGCAGGCCTGCTCGGGCAACTTTTGCACTGGCTTCCGTCTTGCGAGCCTCGTTTATCGCACAGTGCGAGCAGTGACGAGATGAAGTCGGCAACAGCCTCTTCGCTGGCAAGCTCCAGCTGGCTTCTCAAGTCATGCGCCTCTCTCGCCACCATCTGCCGCGCTCGTTTTCCCAAGACGTGTTACCTGACGATGCCTCGCGCAGTCGCTCTGCGCCGTGCTGAACTTGATGAATGAGGTTCACCTTAGTACAGTTCATGTTGTGAGCTGTCGAATCACTGAAGCCTCTCGGTTTACCCCATTCCACACAGGCATTTCTGGCCACCCGCTCCAGTGTGAACCGCCGTTCCGTAATGATTTCTGTACATGTTTCCCCCTGTGTTTGTCAGTCTCCACAAGCAAACGGTACAGTACGACTTCAGCTTTTCAGCAGTTGCCTGTGGTGCTTTCGTGGGGTTAACTTGAGATCTGAAGTGCAATGTCATGCAATGTTCTTGACGTTTAGTTTAGTACTTGGTGCGACTGCCATGAACCAAGTCACTTTGTGTGGTTCCAGTATGGCTTGCCGCGCCAGCTGCTGCTGCTGCGTCTCCGACTCCTCCCGAGCATAGAATCTGCGTCCGGAATTCTGAAACCACTCTCACGCACACCGGAATCTCCTGCAGAAGGCAGGACATGTGCTCTACCTCGCCCTCGCTCTTCTCGACAGCTTGCCTGTCGTCAGAACAGACTGCTCTGTGGCCACTGCCTGACACTTGATGCTGAAGTCCATACTGGCTCGATTGTCGAACGACAGCTCGTTTTCATGATACTGCGTAAGCATGTCTTGTACAAACGCTCCCAAACCGCCAGACCTCGCCTGGCGAGTCTCAACTCTTCTTCAGCCAACTCCTTTGGACACACTCTGCTGCCAGTCGACTCAACCGCGAGGCACGAGTACCTCATCACTGCGCTGACTTCGAAGCCTTTGTAGACACGCCTTTCGAAAGCCGTTGGCAGTCTCTGAAGATTTGCGCCACTCAGGATGTTGACTGCCTGCTTGTTCATCTGCATGGTCCTGGCAAAGGCCTTCCACGGTTGCTGTCATCATTCAGTGTCGAACTACTCTAAACGTGCAAAAGCATTCCCGTGCCTCCGTCTGCCTCAGATTCTCAAGATCCTTGTGGTACTCAGGAAGCCTAACCAGCTTCTGTTGCGGTCAGCGGGTGGGGATCCATCAAAGTCAAGGAAATGAACAGAGCCCGTCAGTCACCTCGCCATGTGCCACTCCCACCATTCGTTGGATCGCCTCACATTTTCGGCAAAGCCCAGTCGAGCCGCAGCCAGAGCACTTGAAGTGTGAATTTCCGAACCTTCTCTCCTCTGCAAGCTGGGAGCACAAAGCCTTTCAGACTTCAGACTGCAAGCTTGCCACGTCTCTTAAATATCCGAGGAGTCCGTAAAGTGTGAAATTGCTTCAAGCTGCAGCTTTTCTGATGAACAGCCCTTGTCTTCCGCAACACGTTTCAGATGCCAGTGCAGCTGCAAGGACGCAGAATAGAACGCAGGTTGTTACTACTGGTAGTAAGAGCAGCTTACTGCACCGCTTCGCAGAACTGAGCTGAGAGCAGTCGTCTCGGCTTCTTCTGCTCGCAGCTCGCTACGGAACCGCAGGAGCCGACGTTGTACCTTGTGAAACCCGATCCAGCCCCCACGGTCCCAATTCCAACAGTCTTGGGCACCTCGGCCAATCTCTCCGCATAAGCGGACTTTTGCAGAGCCATTTCTGATGACGCCACGCAGGCATCCGCCAGTTCGTTGGCAGTCACGAAGCCCTGCACAACACTTCCGGCTTAATGAGCCCGGCTTTTCCAGGCCCTCTAAGCGGGCGAGTCGTTGGCAACTCTCCACTCTAATGTCGGTTTTGCTCGTTCAGATGCCTGCTCTCTCCCAATCTTGCCGATGGAGTTCTTCTGTTCAACCTCTTCCACAGCAGACAGCTTCAAACCCTTGACACAATCAAACATCCTTCGATCGGCAGTGTGTGAGACCTTCGCTTGTTGCGGGCTCTGTGCTCGAGTTACGCTTGTGCATGTTGTGTTTGTATTCCAGGTAAAGGCAAGACAGCGTCTGTAGTTTGTATCAGACTGTCATAGACTGTCCTTGTCACAAGTACCACGAGTACATTGAATGCTGAGATCTGACTGACAAGGGTCGAACGTATCCGCCAGCACGGAGTTCCTGGTCCAGTCGCCTCGAGTTGTGGCAAGAAAAAGACCAGAGCAGAAGGCAGGTAGAAAAGTAGAGTCAACCGGAGCAGCGGTAGCACATCGACATGCTTGGCGTCCGGTCTCACGCCAGCGCTCGAAGAGCCCGATCGACAAGCGCCTTTCATCCTGCCAGTCGTCACAGGATACATAGTGGAAGCTGTCTTAAGGCTGCCCCGGAGACCAGGGCGCCGTGAACCTCGGCAAGCTGAGCTTTGGCTGCACCGAGATTGTCCAGCAAGGCCTCAAAGAGCAAACACCAGCAATCAGTGACTTGATCTCGAACTTTGCAGAGGCAGAGAGGCCTTGCCTTTGTCTCGAGCGAGGGTGGGTGGGAGGACAGGAGTGCCAGGCGCGCACGGAAATCCTCAATGAGTCTCTCAAAACTGCAGCTCAAAGGCCAAGTGAGGCCGCGAGGCCTCGGTGCTTTGCTCCAGCTTCTTTTCTGCCTGCATCTCCTGCAGAGAAAGGAAAGAAGATGCTACAGTGGGCTTTGGCCTCTTTGCCCCCTTGGGCACCTCCTCGGCTGCAGCTGCCATGTCTTGCTGAGCTTTCCTTGGAAGCGACCGAAGCAACGGGAAGGTTCAGCCCCAAAGGCTGCTGGGAGCCCAAGCTGAGACTGCTCCAAGCACTGCGCGAGAGCCTTCCTCAGCGCCTCGCGCTGGGCCTCCACAGACTAAAAACACACGTTCTGTCATTGACAGCAGCGTCACAAAGGCTAAGGCCTTGATCGAAGCACCGTGCACGCATGCCATGGCGATGCAACATCTCACAGGCTTGTCCAAGAGCGCGACACTATATCGACATGATTCATCCTGTTTCCGTAGTCACGAGATGTCGCCTGCGTTGCCAGTGACGTCGGTGTGCATCGGTAACTGTCACCGGAGAACTGTCAGTAGGTGACGGAAGACACAACGCACCCGAGTCTGTTCCAACAAGCGCTTGTAGGCTTGTTCATATCTCACATCTCAATGATGCTACGCTCCGACACTGCCTCCCCATCACCAGATGGCAGGCAGTTTCGACGTTCCCTCCATCCCTCTTCCTCCCTCTTCCTCTCTCTCTTTCGCTTCGCTCTCTCTCTGAAGCCGTAGCATCGATCAGCGACAGCCTTCGATTACAGTACAGGGGCTTGAAGGCCGGTGCGAAAGGGCAGAGTAGATTGCACAGGCCGGCGCCTCACGAAAAGAAGCTCTTTGGCAGCTCGAGCTCGGCAACTGCTGCTAGTTAGCTGCTAGCTAGTTGCAAGCTTCTTCGACAATAGGAAGGCAGCGTGCCTTCAATAGGGGGTTGAGTGGTGATCTATGCCAGGTACTCCACATCCCTGCCGCTGCACATCACTACCACTACCGGGTACTGTGACGGTTAAATACGTTGCCTGGGCACCTACTTTCAATTTCTTTCATTTGGGACATCTGGAAATCTCAGAATCAGACTCGATCTAGAAAGGGACGTAGAGAGCCACAGAACAGCGAAGAGTGAAAAGAGATAGCGATAGAGGGAAGAGAGGGAAAGGCGGAACGTGTTTTCGATGAATTCTAAAGTCTGACGCCAAACCACTGAAGCCTCGAGATTGGTTTCAGTTTGGCTGCTTCTTCTGTCATACCGGTGATACCCACGGTGCCCGATTCCGTGAACTAGGCTCCCTTGACAGCGCATGTGTTTGCTTCATGCAAGTGTCTCGCGTCCTTGCGGAGCCTTCGAATTTCCCGGACTACTGGCCACGCTTTGGTGGTCCATGTCATCTCAGGCCGATGCGGCATGACACGTGCAGTTTTAAGCGGCGCCTGCATGCGTGCGGGGGAGTCACCTGGTAACACAAAGACTTGTCGCATGGCTTCCACATGTAGCTTCCGCCTCTTAAGTCGGCCTTCCCCGCCTCCACGCGTGCGGACACTACTGTCAGGCTGGCTGACGCGACTGTTGCACTCTCAATTCTGAGAGTGCCACAGGGAAAACTCGGCCCTTGACCCCTACCTAGATATTGTACGTGAAGCTGGGAGACGTTGTGCCATTCAAACATCGTGTGTATTGTACTTCTTCACGATCTTGCTCCAGCGATCTGCATAACCCTCATTCGGCGGGTCCTTTCCGACCATATCTGCCTCGGCTCGTTAGCAGCACCGAAGCAGTTCGGGGTCGAAGCTTGCACGGTAGCCGGCTGTTGCTCCGCTGCTGCGCGCGAACTCGCGCGCCGTCTAAGCAAGAGTTGGCCAGAGGCCTTTGCACAGGATGCTTGTTCGAATCTCATCCCGGCACACTTGTGCTTCTCAAAACGCACGACCTGAACAAGCAGAAAATGAAGAACAGCAGGAACAGAGACCTGGCAAGACAGAGGTACACTCGGATTCGGGTCGTCAGATCTGTTTCCGTGCTCCAATGGCGAATTCGCTCAACCAGCCAGCACGGCCCAAAGAAGACGATGTGATCGAATCTGACTATCTTATTCCGCAGCTGGCACAATCCGTCGAAGCACCTGAACTCACAACTGAAAGCGACGAACGGCCCACAGCAGGCAGTGTCAAAACTTCGTGAGCCACGGAACAACGCTTGCTGACGCATGAGCACAACTTTTGCGGCATCTGAGCACGGGGCTTCACACCGGTGTTGGAGGCATAACCCAGGTCTCAGTGCAACATGACTGTAGGCCATGCTTTGCCTGCATCAATGACCGACTTTAAATCCCGACTGGATACAATGAGCCCCTGCAAAAGTGTATATCCCTGTGAGCCTTGATGTGCTCTCCGACTTCGGAAATACCCAAGTCTAAGTGGCCTACTGCGGTTGAGCTCTGAGCACCCAGCCTTCCAAGATGAAAGAAAATGCCGTGGGCCGATCTTGCGGCGGACTATCACCTTGCATACATGTACGACATTGTACAACCTGTGCTGTGCCTCGCTGCAAAACTGAGGTTGGCACATGTAAATTCAACCTGTTGGTCGAGGGGCCTCGCTGTGACAGAGTCTGCATTTGCGTCTCGTACGATGGCTTTCAGGACGTGAGCCCTTGGCAGACAGATGTCAGAGCCCTGCTTGAGACCAGTGCCCTTCGTCCTCACCTGTAAACCCAAAACGAAAAAGAGCAAACACCTTTGCAAGGGAACAAGGCCTCACAGGTGTGGCTGATCGACTGCAAGGCCTCCGCGATTCCACAAGAATCTCACACATCTCCCATGTCTGCGGCAGTGCCCGGTTTCCGAGGCTGAGATGCCCACACAAGTCGGCATTGGAAACGCATGCGGCTGCCAACTGGCCGATCGGGCTTGCCGTCTACGTGACTGCAGTTGTCAGCACGGAGTTTTTGCAGAAACTAATCAGTTCTCATGCTGAGACCAACATGCGAAATAGAATTGCGGCACGCCATGTCACAAAACTCCTTGCCATCCCGCCTTTTCGCGATGGTGAGCAGTTCGAACTTCTCGTAACAATTCTTGACCTTCCGCGGGAAAGAATTGCCGTCCAGAGTAGATCTGCTCCTGTGCACTTTGAGCTCCGGTCATAGTATCTGAAGGCACCGTAGCACACGACGCCGCCGATTACCAAAAAGCCTCGGCACTCTTGCTCGAACGTATTTCTATTCGCATTCAAAGATGTTCAAAGCTTGCAATTTGTAAGCCAGTTTTATTTCAAATTTTCGGAGAATACACAAAACATGGGCGCAAGTGGAAGTGGAGCAGACGCTTCCCCCATGTATGCTGGAGCTCTGGTCAGTGCTGGCCGGATGAAATTGCAGAATATTGCTGTCAAGGCACTGAGAATTGAGTAAGTCGCGAAGAGCAAGCTCCTGGCACAGTTCAACACGGTGCACCCAGGCATTCCAGTCACGAGCTGTCGCCCACAAGGTCCCGCCCACACCAGCACGATTACGTTGGAGACACGGGGTCCCAACAAGGTTGAGGGAGCTCGGTGAGATTTACACGCATTACGGTTGGGAGTACACAATCACAGCGCCGAACATTAATTACATCTTCTCCGCACACCCCTTCGGTGGAAATAGGTTGATCAATGCGTGGAACTGCAGCAGACTTAGGACTGAAACGTGAAGATGGCAGCACAGGATCAGGCGGATCAGGCATGCGTGGGGCCACGGAGCAACGACTCTAGAAGGCAGCCTTGCTATTATAAGGGGATCCCGTGAAGGCCGTCCTGCAACTGCTTAGCCAGTACAGCTCAGCTTCGTCGGGTTCCTGCCACATGCCACTTTGCCATCTTCTCTTTCCCTAACTCTTGAACCTTTCAACCGAAAGATCATCACTGCTCGGAATGGCTGACTTGACAAGCCTTCTTACGCACCCAATTCACAGTAGTGCTTGCTGGCAGACAAGAGGAGCACACAAGAAACTATATAACCCTCAACCGGCCTGGACCCAATTCCCAGCGCCGTCCACCAGATGATAATCTTGCTTCATTCTGGTCTGACAGATGGAAGCATGGTGCAATTGGCACATCTTCGGCATTGGGGGTAATAGCCACTTGACAAAAGCTTAGAGGTGTCATTTACCCCCGCTCAAAACGGGTGCCTGTTCGCAGCACGACATGATGCGTGAAGGAGACTTCTCACAGCTGCTAGATACCATCAAGGAAGCAGGCGAGCCAGAGGGTGCTCGGCGAAGAACTCCCCAGTGGTCGGGTCTGGAACGTTGTCTGTCAGGCAGGCCCAAGCAATATTAATGTTGCATGTTTCTTGTCACTGAGCAAAGCAGGCAAGCGCACCCCACGTGGCAAGTCGCACCTCATTGCGAGATTCGAAACAGCTTCGCCGTGCTCAGAACGATCCGAGCATCCGGCTGAGAGACTCGAGTTCGCGTGAAAGTGGTCAAGGTGGCGCAGGTCCGCCGTCGGAGTGCCGAAAGTTATGCTCACCCTCGTCAGTATGGCACTTCATCATAGCAGCAGCAAAGCTCGATCCTCTACCCCAGGTCCTAACTGAGCATGCTGCCACGGAGGTGTTTCCGCCTGGCATGCGATGCGAGCGAGTTCCGGACCAAGTCTTACGGCGGCGCGTCCGGCCTCCAAGTTGCGGTCATGCAGCGTCAATGCCAAACGCTTCGTGTTGAACGAATCGCCCTTAGAAAAGACACAAGAAGCACTGGCAACTCAATAGTCTTGCACAGGTATGCAACTGTCACATCCAACTGCATCTAGTCAGAAGGTTCGGGAAGCTCTTCATGCGAGATGGCAAGAAGTGGCCATTTTTGCTGCCTTGCTGCGTACTGTAGGCTTGTATGTAAGCAGGTGCTCTTTACCTTGCGACCTTGCCCTTGCGACAGTTCAAAGCGGCCTGGTGAGCCCACTTCGCCACAGTCGTCGGGCTGAGACGAACCTGACAAGGGACAAAATCGGGAGATTCTGCACCCTCAGGCACTTTCGTGAGGAACCTCTGCAACTTTGTGGATGCCGACGAAGTTGATTTGATTGACAGTTATCACGACCTCATTGCAAGCAGTGGTACAGCCGTCTCTTCTTGGAATCAAATGAATCAATGAACATACTCCAGCCAAGCTTCCACATGCAACACAGCAAGGGGAGGGTGGAGGGTATGGAATAGGATGGAATAGGTGCGTCACCTATTTCCGGGCCTTGGGAATGCTGGGGCACGGTGCCGGACAGATTCCATTTTTCTCTCGAGGCTCCTGTCCACTTAAATAGCCCCCCATTGTCCACGGGACGGTATGAAACAGGGTTAAGAACAGTGTCTTTCGCCAGCATGCTAGAACCTGTTAGTCACTGTTAGTGTAGCCTGGGCCGGCAACTTGGTCTGGAGCCGAGGCGTGGCGCGTACTTCTTTTTACCAGCGGAGTCCAATGAATGGAAGGAAGGGGGCGGCACCCCACGGTCTGTGTGGACCCTGCTACTGGGCTACACACCTCTGAGAATCCCGATTGGGCTCCCACAAGCTTCCGACCTAATTGAATCAGGCACAGAGAAACGGAAGGAGGGACACCTTCTAGATGGCCACTGCTACACAAATCATACATGAAGCCTCACATAGCGCACAGTCCATCCTACAGTCCTACACCATCCTACACCCCTATGTTGTATGTGCTCTACTCATACACCACCAGTAGACCCGAGTGGACTTCGACCCTAGTTCAGATACCCGAGTATGGACTTCCGTGAATGTATGGAAGAATACCAGAGTCGTAAACGAGTGAAAGGGAGGGGGGCCACCCTGCGGTCCATTTGCCCCCCCCGCTCTACAACCGTGAGACCATTGCGGCCATCAACATGTCTCTTAGCACACCAACTACTCCGAGCAACACCGCGCATGGTTATCATCTCCTCATGGCAATACCTGGCATGTTCTGGCTCTTAATATCATCAGTGTTTTCTGGATTCCGCGTACCCCATCTTCTTCTTGCCCACCCTTTTTTTCGACCCACGGTGGAATTGAAACAGTCGGCAATCCTTCAGCAGAAATAGGTGGGAACCCTTCTTACCTCCCCCCTATTCGCGGGGGCCATCATCTTGCAACTGTCCAGCCACGCCGTTGGCGAGGATGATGACTTACTACATCTTGCTTGAAACTCGAAAAAACATCACGGAAAGCACTGCATCCGGAGCGGGCTAGCCAGCAAACGACACAGCCTCCACTGACACAGATCAAAGCACGGGCGCGGGCCGGCGAGTCCCACATGGTATCGCGCAGGCGCAAGGTAAGGACCTGCTGACAACGCTTTGCACTTCATCGCTTCGCGCACACTGCGGAGCACGTCAATCTGATCTAATGTCCCTTGCAACTGTCACAACACACTTAACACACACCTAGCTTTGCTGCGTCGTTGTAACAGGGGTTCAAGTCCAAAGTCTTTGCCCACAATAGACGCAGGGGTAACAGATCCTCGCACCTGGACAGAAGCAAGTTACGTTTCAAAGCCGGTCTGACATGCTTCATCCGTGGAGCCGCATGGCTCTGAAAATCAAATGCGTCATATACGTTGGAAGCCTCAAGGTCCCGATACATGTGCTCCATGCGTAGCCTCCTCAATCTGCACTACGGATGTGGGCCCGGATGTCGATTGCACAGCGACAAGCAACATGCAGACTGTGTTTGACGACTGTAAGTGTAAAAGCGTAGCTCCTAACGGACAGATGCGATTCGTAGCGCTCGTGGAAAGAGACGTCGGCTACCCGGATGAAGAAATCCAGACCCTTGCCCAGGATGGGCGATGAGCTGGAAACCACCCAGTTGTAGCTGTGGCGCTACTGATGTGAACAACATTGCTTGTGCGAAGTTCTGCTCGGGAGGATTTGTGGACGCTGCGAGGCAAACAAATCTACATCCATTCCCGCTTCAGTTGTCCTTTGCCCCTTCGTCATGTTGCATGGGCTATCAGCGTACGGTTGAAAATGATCGGCGTTGACCACAAACTGACATGATATGCTTTTGAACTTGTGCTAGACCTCCAATGATATCTGCGAAACTTCATTAAGCTGCCTCTGCCCCCTTACGAGCCCCTTTGTCCCGGCGCCAACACATTCCACAGCTCCCCTCAAGTCTCTGGTCAGCGCAGCCGACAGGAACAGTGAGCAGAATGCGAGCATGGCTTGACCAGCCTCCGGAAAGTGGATCGTTTTGGGATCTTGGTCCTGGTAAGATTGCACCACACTTGGACCACATTGGGAAGGAGAAAGCTTCCGATTCCCAAGCGAAGCCGTACACGGGTCCTCCTGCACCGACGTTTGCAAAGGCCTCAGCTGATTCGTGATTCGTGCACAACCGGAAATGAAGCCAGCCTCATGCATATGCAAGAAGCAAACTGGGCAGGATGCGGATACTTGCCACACTCGACTGTCACGGAAAAGGCACCATACCTCGCTGACTACACTGCAAGGAGCAGCCAAGAGCCTGTCGAGCTGCTGATGCTGCTGGACCCGGTAAATGGTAGTTACCAGCCTGTAGAAAGGAATATCTCCCACCACGATGTTACTCAGCTCGACGGACATGGACCTGAGAGCTTCCAATTTCAACACGGTCCCGACTGGAAACCACAAGATTCCGGCGTCACTCCCACCCATTGTGCCATGGTCTGACATCACACGTCCGACAAACGAGCATCTCAGCAGTCTAACAAAAGCCAGCGTCGCCCGAACAGGATTGGAGCCACGCCACTTCCCGCAGCAGGGCCTGAGAAGCATCCGGGGCATGACACGCCAAGGTCATGCCAACACGACAGCCTGTGCACTGCTTAAGGCTGTGCTTCGGAGCCCGGCCACGAAGTGCACATCGTGACCCAATCATATTTGCAGAGGCCACAGCACTGCCACCTTACTCGCTTAGCGCGTTACGCTTGTCACTGTCGTTCTTGCCTGATGCTTTGCCACCCTGGTAAAACTTGCACCAGATGGTGAAAACAAGCTGTACAAGGGTTGTGCCTCAACGTCGCTGAGTAAAGGGCACGCCGTACCAACAGCAGTCGGGAAGCGTGGCATGCAGCCTGGCACATTTTGCTCCCGCCACCCAACACTACCCAGAACTCGAGTGATGAGCAACGAAGCCGAAATCAGACTCGCCAGCAGGACGAGTCATCCCCCGTCAGGATAATGAGGACCGACTTCCTTTGCTCAGGAGCTAGGCAAAAATACTTGAAGGAGTTCTTCAGTCCCTTTCCTGTGGATGCACAGGCACACCAGCAAGATCACGATGATTAGGCAGACCTGGCAACGAGGGACAACTTCGATTGGGGAAGTAAGCCGAAAGAGCTGGGGGAGCCAGTAGCTGCTGGACGACTTTGATGGGCGAGTACCCCTGCAGGTCCTCGAAGCTGAGCCTTTGGCGTCACGTGAAGTCATGGACATCTCTGAGCATTCTTGGGGCCCTCGGAGGGTTGAGCGAAGCTGAGCGAAGAGCAGTCTTCGGCCGATGTGTTCTTTTGGCTTCTCGCACAAGGCGAACTGGCCAAGCTGGTTCAGGTCAAGGCCCTGCCCGAGGTCGACAAGCTATCTTAGACAGACCTTGCTGCAAGCCGTGACGCGACAAAGCCGAGACTTTTCCCAACACAACCCAGGACGAAAAGTGGGACGACAGCCCTCAGGCCCACCGGAGTCGTCGCGTCACCCTGCAGCATGGGCGCGGCTGGTGCTGGCGCAGGCTGTGCCAGTTCGGATTGCGCCGGCAACTCTGCTACTGGCACCACTTGCGCAGCAGGCGCAGGTGCTGCCGGTGCTGCCGCCACAGGTGGGGGTGCCGGCGCTATGGCAGGGGCTGCTGGGGCTGCTGCTGGGGCTGCTGCTGGGGCTGCTGCTGGGGCTGCTGCTGGGGCTGCTGGTGCTGGTGATGATCCTGCTGTTGGCGCTGTCGCCTGGCGCGGTGCAGGTGCTGGCTGAGGCTTTGATGCTGCGGTCACCGATGCGCTCAGCGGATTCGGCACAGGCGCAGGTGTTGGTCCAGCAGTTGTGGGCACCTGCGGTCACAACATACCAGACCGTGCATGACAAGGGCAACTGTGGCATGTCCACGTCCTGGATCATCATGGCATCCGCCCTTGGAAGACAAAATAGCAATCCGGCACAAAGAATGAATCACGATGATTATCCAAGGCAGCCACAGCCAATCTGGAACAGTTCCCAGCACCGTCTTGTCCTTGTTCTTAAACCTGGGGCGAACCAGATGCAAGCATGTTCATGTGCTGCTGCTCATTCTGCTCTGATGCGGGGCTCTCTCTAGCTCACGCTGTTCCTGAGCTGCAAACGGATTCGCGGAACCAGCTGCCGGAGCTGACGGCAGCGTGGGAAACCTGACCGCTGTTGGACTTGCACACATAAACATGGAGCCTCACTTGAAGTGGAGAGTGGGACTCTTTCCAGTAGATAATGAAGCACAGGTACCCTCCCAGCATCTGTGCTCTCACCCTTGAAGGGCTGGATCCAAAAACCTGGGATTCTTTCAATTCAGGTCGCTTGGAAACAAGTACGGACAAGTAAGCTCTCCGCTAGCAGACATAGAAGTGTCGGAGTTGCAATCCCGGAGCCTGCGCAAAGCGTTCGCAAGATCGAAAGCTAGACAGCATCTGAATTACACACAGCATGCTGACGGAACAGCAAAGCTGGGGATGCCGCCACAAAGCCGCATTGTGCGGGGTTCCACCTGACTGCTTGACCTGGCTGCACGTTTTGCACAAGCAAAGACTAGACAGAGACATGGCGGAATTTCGCCACCAAATGGCATGAAGTAGTGTACATCTAGAATCTAGAATCTAGGACCCCATCCGAGAAACCCACGTACTTACAGTGCCCAAGCTGGCGAGCAAGAGAATAAGAGAACTTTCGGGCTTCGCAAGCATACAGCATGCGGCTGATTCGAACTCGAAGTAGGGGGTTTGCGAACGTGCTAGATTCTAGATGTTCGGGGTCCGAGAGTTTTTCCGAATTCTTTCAAGCTGTCTACAAAGGATTGTTGAATCAACCCGGGCACCTAAGTTCTGATCAGGCAAAGGCATAGCTGCATAGCTTCCGATCCAGCCTCTCGATTCGGAGATCGGCTCAGCAGTGCAGGGGCCCTATGCTCGGCAAACATCCTGCAAAAGAAGCTTCAACGTGCTCTTCCATGCACAACTGCATGTACGGTGTTCCGCAAATCCTGGCAAGAGAGATGCTGAGCCCCCGGCTACATGTGCAAATATGCATCCCCTTGAGGACCCCGCATGAGCCGAAACGAGGCAAAGGATCATGCAGAAAGTCTGGGCCGTGCATATGCGGCCTCATCATAGTTCGTGTAATATCACCCATCATGGAAAAAGAATCTCCGCAGTCACAGGCGCTGTGTCAAACGTTAGCTGCTCGAGACCTAAAACGCAGAGACAGACGGAGAGAGAGCGAGAGAGAGAGAGAGGAGGGAGAGCGAGCGATTGAGCGAGCAAGTAAGAAAGAGAGAGAGCAGAGGGATAGCGACAGGATAGGACAGAGACCGAGACAAACTGAGATTGCAGACTGCAGACAAGAACAACACACAGACAAACACGTGCTTGCTCTTGATGCCTGCTCATGTCGCCGTGCGATGTGGTCAGGAACCTGCTTCAACTCCACTATAGAACCCGCATCTCAAAAACTGAAAGTCTCTGCACTGGAGGCTCATGGAGCGCTGAACTGAGCTGATTGGTTGAACACAGTCCATCCGCATCTCGAAGCAACCGCCTCCAGTGCAGAACCGCAGCCGCTACTGCGCAGCGTGGAAGATCGCATCTGGCACTGTCCGAAGACATCCATCACGCGGCAGTCCCTTCTGAACCTTTAAGCTATGTGTACACACTGCGTCTGTGCAGGAGTGTGGGTGTATGTGTTGTGTGTGTGTGTGTGTCTGTCCGTCTGTATCTTCTGTTGTTGAGCAGCTCTGGGGTTTAGGGGTTTATTGACTCAGTGGTACCCGGCCAGCTTTCATTCTGAATGCTCACTCTTCAGCACCCGCGGTGCTCAAGTACTCCTCAAACTCGTGGCTCCTCTCAGCCCTTGGATAGAGCTGCTCTGCCATGAAGGTTTCAAGGTCTACTGGGCTCGCAATCATATGCACCGGGGGTAGCACGTCCACCTCTCTTCTGACTCATTGCGAAACTTCGCCTGGGTACCCCAGCTTTACATCATGGATCATGGTGATGGCGCTCCGAATGTCTGCTGCCGAGCGACCAGCATGTAACCGGGCATGTCCATTGGAATCTCGCCCTTTTCTTTCTTGCGCATGATCTCATGCCACCAAGGCCACATGATATTGGGATTCCTAAGTAGATGCACGGGGTCTGCGCCTGGTGCAACGAATTGCTGCGAGGGCCTAGTGAGCTTGACGGTGCCAAGGCTCTTGGAACGGTCAACGCCATACCTCGAGATGACCCCGCTCCCAACGAGCTCAAGACTGAATGCCAGAACGTCCATAGGTGTCGTAGACGAATGTGGACTAAGTCCCGCACTGCTGATCGGCCAGGAAGCCGCCCAAGTTGACGCTGGCAATTATGCCCCAAATATACCGAGAGAACCTCGGAAAGCTTTTCTCGCACACGGCCTAGGTCCTGGGCCCACGACGGACCAGGGCTGCTCAGACTTGCACCAGTTGGGGTGAAAGAACCGCTGGTGGCCTCCCATGACGGCTAGCCTTGCAATCGCAATTGTAGAATCACAAACCATTGCTGACAATGCTTGGCCGCCGTCGGTGGCTTTTTCTCTGGGTCTCACCGCTTTTCCGCTAGACATGACATGTTGCCGGACATTCCCTGATGGAGTGCAGCATGCCTGCAGGATTCAGGCACAAGCACGGTTGAAGAGGCAATGGGGCACAGCTGTGCTTGAGCAGCACAACTGCAGGCGAAGTCGCTGCTGATGCGATTGGCGACTGTAGGACAAGGGCAAACGAAAGACCTGCAAAAACAAGCCGTCAGCAGTATGAAAACCACCTTTTCGAAGAGCATGTCAAGCGGATTCTAGCTTCCGGCGTCTCAGTCCACGATACACCTTATCCTCGCCGTGACGTCACGAAGCCCGCGAGCCTCCTGTCTGCACGAATTGTCGCAGCGCAGGTCAACCTTCCACCAGGTTGACGAGTTTTTGAAATTGGAGGTTCGCCCTCGGAACTTCCAGGATCACGATCTGATTCTCGCTGTCGAGCTTGAAGGACGCTGTCGACGCGCCCCGAACTCTGCAGGTACAACCTGGCTATAGGTGGTCTCTCTGACGTGATTCGCCGGGACAATCGACTCGGCGTCTTTCGGCCTCCAGCACCTCCTAGCGGACTTCACCTAGGACCAAGGAAGAGGAAGCTCGGTCCGTGTAGAAACAAAACACGGCAGTCGGTACAAGTCCGCAGCCTTTCTGCGCCCAGCAGTTCGCTCCAGGTCAGGCCTCAGCCAGAGATCCGTGGCTGGTAACATGTGGGACACCCTTTGCACAGCGGTGTTTCGCGTGAGATGCTGAGAGCCGGGCACTCGCTCAGCATCTTGATGATCTCGACTTCAACCCTGGGAGGGTCCTGGAGATGCTCGCAACTTGCAACTCACAGACAGGACTTGTGGACTGCAGTCGAAGGTTTCGACCGTCGACTTGCGCCGCTCAGCCCCTATCCACCGTCCTCCACTATTTCCAGGTCGGATGCGGCACAACGATGGCCTGGGTGTGAGCATGAATGCGAAAAGCTTCAACAGACGACGTACCGTCATCAAAGCGCAGCAACTCACGACTGACTGCAAATGCATCTTCCAACCAAGATGTGGGCAAAGAAACATCCCGCACTGAGAAGGTGACCCCAGCTTCCGAGGAAGTCCACCACGGCTGTTGCATTGCCATGCAGAGCAAACACAACACCTGTAGGAAGCACCAGTTTCGGAATACGACAGAACATATGCGGTATGCCTATGCCACAACCGCCCTGCCTGTCGCACCCTTGAGCCCGTCGCAAGGCATCCTGACCGACAGAGTTGCTTCCGGCCCCGCACTGAAGCTCAATGTTCGTCGATGCCACAATTGCCTCAGACCCAACCCAAGCCATCCCAAGCCTCAGCCGAACGGCGACACCTGGACGGATGAGATCGGACTCCTGTCGCAGCACTGAGATGGTCCAAGAAGGAGAAACCAAAGGAGTCCTTAGTCCTTGTCCAGCTCCAGATCCGAAAGTTTGCTGGCAGCAAACATAACGTCTTGGAACCCTCCAGCTTCCTGAGTACGGACACCGATGGACAAGCCACCCGGACACCAATTGCCGCCCAAAGCTCATCCGGAAATCGCACACAAACGCTGCTTGCTCTTCCAGAGCTGTCCTGTCGGCAAGGAGCAAACATCTGACGGAGCCATGCCACTACAACAGGATGCATGCCTCCACCTGGAGCACGGTGCCCAAAGGTCCTTGGAACACCAAACTCCAATGCAACTGACGGAGAAGTCTCAGCTTGCGAGAATGTTTAGGTCGTCAGGCGCGGAAGCAACATTCGTTCCAGTAGCCAAGTTTGGATGTTGAACGCCTCGGCGATTATTAATTCTTGCTGGATTCCTTAGGTCTGATCGCCCGTGCTGCACAGCAGCACGGGCAGTAAGGCTAGGCTCTGTCCATTCTTTGTGCGGCAATAAGAAACCTGCATGTCCCCATGTAAACTCAACTGCAGACATCCCCACCTTTCGGCCTGGTGTGAGATGTTTGATTTCTCGCCACTGTGGCTGAAGTGTGCGTGCGCTGCCTGCAAAGTGCGTGTGTCGACAACCAGGGTCTCGGACGACGAATCCCCTCCACGCCCCTAGACATGACGAAACATCTCTCAGCAGCGCACGCGCAAATCCAAGCACTCGCACTGATTTGATGCATAGGGTTGGGTGAGTGGGTACATTGTACGGGCCTTCACCGAGCTTTGAGCATGTGACCCAAGCTGCAGATGAAGAACCTTCCTCCTGTGCAGTCCGCCTTATATGACTCATAAGACAAGTGTTATGGTGCATGCACTTGTGGCTGCCAGTGGCTACCACGTGGTTTGACCGCGACTTCGATACGTTGGACCAAACATCTTCATGCTCGATTCCTGTGTGTGGAAACTTGCCCACCCACCGCACGAGTCCCACCCTACCGCCCATGAAAGCTAAGCCAAACTTCAAAGCCAAGGGCCAAGACGCTGAGGCTTCAGACTACTCAGACCACTGTGGGGCTCGTGTCAGAACGGACAGCAGACAGCACAGCTGTCGGCTGCAATACTGCGCAAGTGTAAACGGATGACTGCAAGCCATTGAAAATATTTGAGCATGTTCGAGCCGAACGATGGATTGCTCTTCTTCTGAAGTCGCGACACGGCCTTCGTACAGTACTGCAGTCAAAGTGGCTGCTTGTGCAGTCTGCTTCCTGGCTGGTTTTCGCACGCCTTGGGAACGTAGCACCCGTCACATGGACGATCATGGATGCCGACGCAGATCCTCATTGACCTCTGCGACCTCTTCTACGGTCACCATTTTTCAAGCTTAAGCTGAGGCACACCAGGTCGCCGACGCTCAGTCCTGAAGCAAAGCCGGCTGCAGTCAAACTTGCAGCGCTGCATTCTCTTGCACAGCTCTTGCGTTTGCATTCAGGATCCGGCCGGGATCTGTGCTCGAACGGCTCTGCAAGCTTGCCAAGGGGAC